CTAACCCCTTATAAAAACTTCTTAGTAAAAAGTTTTTATATAGTATATTTAAGTAAATAAAATATTTAAAAAATAAAGCTTTTTTTATTTTTAAATAATAATTTATTTTATAATTTTATACTACTTTTACTTACTTATACTTTCTTTTTATTAGCTATATTTTTAACTATAATATTTATATTATAAGACTTTATACTAATATTTTAAAGCTTTTAATTAAAAAGTTTAAATAGCTTTAATATTTCCTAAGTAAGTAATTTTTAATAGATTTAATAGAGAAATAAGTAAAGTAATAAGTCTTGTAGTTATTTAGATATAGATAGCTAGTTTTAGCTGTTTTTAGTAGGAAAAGGTGTTCCATATGTGGGGGTGTTTTATATGTGGGTGCTTTGACTTAATGAAATTTAATGGTAATGCCCGGTTGGAATGTATGTCTCTGACAAATACGAATCGATTTAATACCAACTGGAGACAGGTCACAAAAGCGTAGTGGCAGGGCTCGGCTTGGAACAAGGACTATTGTCAGTTTCAATAAAGCAGACCATTACATGACAAAGGCAAGGAAACAACCGATGATAAGGGAGTGCACGTAACAAGCGGCGGCTACTCTCGAGAAGGAGTAAACACCTTGCATTTAGTAAAAGAGATTCGCGCTATGGCTCCCCCCCAAAAATAGCAAAAATATGTGTGCAAGTATGCATCTGTCGAGACTCGAACTCGAGTCCCCAGCTATCGTTCACTGAGGAATGGAAGGCTGGGATGATAACCCCTACACTACAGATGCAGGTGGATGACGATGTGAACCGCCAGATCGTTATTGCAGAATAGGTCTGGGGATGATTATGTTGGTGGGTTTAGGGCTGACGCCGTCCTCGCTTCCGTCGCTGGGGCGAGTGGAGTTGTTCAGACTGGAGTTTCCGCTTCACGATGGGGCAGAATGGAATTGAGCAGGGGTTTTCGAAGTGGGACAACAGACAGCACCTCGTTTTCGGACGGGCTCAACGAGCCATCAAACTTGTCGCGGTCCATTTATGAATCCAAGGTGCTGATGGTTGTTGCTACAGACTGCCAACCCAAGTGCGGACCATAACGGCCTCAAGCCAAAGCCGAGAAAGACGCTGACCGACAATGTTCTGGTGCATAAGCGTCGAAATCACTTCTCTGAGCTTTTTCCTCTGATCCGGTCAGCCATCTTTCGGCAACCACATCCCTCGCCGGTCTTTTCTTCCGCCAGGCGAAGTATGAAATGAACGGAGGCAGGCGGTCCTTGATATACTTGCCGACGCTCCAGGCTGGGCTGTTTAGTTCGACTGGCAACGCCGGTAATCCGGAAGCCGAAAGGCGGGTGCGAATCCCAAGCTGGCCTGGAGCGGCAACGTTGGCGGATGCGCGAATTTGTAGATGGATACGAGGGGACGTTTATGGTACGAGAACTGCTTGCAGGTGACTTCCGGTGGTTATTCCTGGAACTCTTGTTGATTATCTTAGCATAGTCAGCTCGGACGTTAACCGTAAGACGTGTATTAAAGCATCTTGGTTATCGTGACTGCAGGGTTTAGTGCGGTCAATAGTTGCATCGTGACCGTTGACTTTTCGGTGCTACCCAGCATCGAATGCCAGAGGACGGCTGCAAAACCTTTTTTTGTCTTTCTCGGCAGATTGGGAATCTGAATAGCCTTCTCACTCTGATGTTGCTATGCCAATGAGTGACAAGAACTAGCCCAATCGACCATTTACTTTCGAACGACACGCTCCCATGTTTCATTAACGTCATGTTATTTGCCGGACTCTTGTCATGAGAGCCTGGCCTCCCGACTACTATGTGAAATGCTTCAGTAACGAGCTCCGACTCCCGTTGGAGCCCTCCAAGTTCCGTGCCTTGAGAGAAAAACAACGCCTGCCGCTAACGCCTAGCCTTGCGTCGTCTAAGACGGGCACTAAGGCGAAGCTAGTCTGGACGTATTGCTGAGCACAGCTCTTCTGCGTCGATCGTTATTGCAACTGCACAAGCCTGAGGCTCGTATAGGCCTACCCACGGCTCTACAGTTGGATTGTTGACAAGGAATGATACGATAAGCTCTGTACGGCTAGGAACTGTTCCATCCAGTCTAGTGAACTACAAACGCCGATGAACTTCAGGTATGTAAGCATGGAGCGCTTGGGCGACAAGGATGTGCTCGATAATCTATGCTTCTCAATATTCGTACAGATCGGAAGTCACGAACTTTCTCTCAATTCAATGCCTTGTAAACCACGAGGAATGGTGCTTTTATATCAGCAGTACGGTCAGACCCATAAGATCAAGGGGATACTGCAAATGCCCTTTGCCCTTGACAGTGAAAGTGGAAGCTCTTGAATTGATAGCTCAGTGCTATGCTGGGTTGCTCTATAGTAAACTCCGGAACTGTTGAATCTTACAAACACTAGAACTAGCTATGGCGGTGCTATGGAGCCATTTGTTAGGAACTAACGGATCTCCAAAAACTTGATCAGACTCAGGAAGTGTCAGTAAGTGTCTTGGCGGGCCGAGCCAGCAAGCCCGTGACCCAGAAGCCACCGAAATTGAGCCGGGGCTACATCAGGAGATACGCTCGGCGTATGCCGATCATGAGTAAAGAAACAATGCCACATAGTGTACGTCAGTGAAAGAGAAACCTAGAGTCATGCCGAGTTGCTGAAGATTACCTGAGACCGTCACTACTTACACCTGTATCGTCAATCGTTGCTTATAAGATCTGGGGCTTTGTTCCTCCTCCATGAGCATAACAAGTCGATACCCGCTTCCTAGGTCTACTAGACTTAACAACTACTTGTGACTTTTGGTAAGATTGAATTAGAGAATTTTATTTATGACTAGACACTCGCTGGGTCGAACAACAAGAAAGCATCAGCCAATGCCATGAGATCCACACGAGTGCTGGGCCTATTGGCCACATCGGTGTCACTCGTTGCAGCCGTCGACCTCACCGGGTACGAGTTTGTAGTCGTCGGCTCCGGCGCCGGAGGCGGCGTTTTAGCCGCCCGCCTCGCCCTTGCCGGCCGCAAAACCCTCCTCATCGAAGCCGGCGATGACCAGGGCGCCAACGATAACTACACCGTTCCTGCCTACCAGGCAAAGTCGACCGAAGATGACGCAATGGCCTGGGACTTTTTCGTTCGGCACTACGCCGACGAAGCGAGGCAAGCCCGAGACTACAAGACTACTTACGAGACTCCGGGCGGCGGCGAGTACACCGGCCTCCAGCCGCCCCCGGGCTCCAAGATGAAGGGTACGCTGTATCCGCGTGCCGCGACTCTCGGAGGGTGTACTGCCCACAACGCGCTGGTCGCGGTGTACCCCCATCGTTCCGACTTTGATTACATCGCCCGCCTCACAGGAGACAAGTCGTGGTCGGCTGACAATATGCGCAACTACTTTATTCGCATGGAGAACAACCGATATTTGTTGCTGCCCCTAGCCGGAGGTCACGGCTACAACGGCTGGCTGAGCACCGAGACGGCACCGCTGAACATCGCCCTCCTAGACCCTCAGCTCTTCAGCTTGGTGACCGGGGGCGCCTTCGCTCTCGGGAACCAGACAAACCTGGTCTTCAACGTAGCCAACCTCCTCGCCGGCGACGTCAACAGCCCGACCGCAGACCGCGACACGCAGCCGTCATACCACCAGTTACCCATCGCGACCAATGACGCCCACCGCGTCGGCTCGCGGGAGTTCATCGTCGCCGTCCGCAACGCCAAGAACCCCAACGGCAGCAAGCGGTATCCCCTCGACGTCCGCATGAACTGCCACGTCACCAAAGTTCTCTTTGACAAGTCGTCCCCGCCCAAGGCCACGGGCGTCGAGTTCCTCGACGGCAGGTACCTCTACCGCGCGAGCCCCCGCTCGCGCAACGCTGGCTCCGGCATCCGCGGCACCGCCACCGCATCCCGCGAGGTCATCGTCGCCGGTGGCGCGTACAACTCCCCCCAGCTGCTGAAGCTGAGCGGCATCGGCCCGGCCGCCGAGCTGCGCCGCTTCGGCATCCCCGTCGTCAAGGACCTGCCGGGCGTGGGCGCGAATCTGCAGGATCACTACGAGATCACTGTCCAAGGCCGCACGCCGGCCAATTTCAGCGCTCTCGACGGGTGCACGTTTGGGTTTTACGGCCAGCGCGACCCTTGCCTGGAGCGATGGCGAAACCCCCCCCTCCTCGGCGACCGGGGGACCTACGAGTCGTCGGGCTTTGCGTCGGCCATGTTGTACAAGAGCACCGTCACCGAGAGGAACGAGTGGGACGTATTCGCTTTCGGGGGCCCGGTCAACTTCCGAGGATACTGGCCCAACTACAGCGTCAACGCGACCATCGACCACGACTGGTTCAGCTGGGCGATTCTGAAGTCGCACCCCCGCAACACGGCGGGCTCCGTGACGCTCCGCTCGTCTGACCCCTTGGACGTCCCCGACATCGTCTACAACTACTTCGACGCAGGCACTGGCGACTACAACGCCGACCTGCAAGCCATGGCCGAGGCCGTCGAGCTCACCCGTGATGCCTTCGCCCGTCAGCCGGTGCCCATCAGGGAGGTGTTGCCCGGTGCCGGCGTCAGGGGCGACGCCGCCGTGAAGCAGTACATCAAGGACACTGCCTGGGGCCACCACGCGTCGTCTACCTGTCCCATTGGCGCCGACAACGACCAGATGGCGGTGTTGGATTCGAGTTTTAGGGTGCGTGGCGTGTCAGGGCTGAGAGTCGTCGATGCTTCCGTCTATCCCCGGATTCCTGGTACCTTCACTGCCGTGTCGACATATATCGTGGGTGAAAAGGCTGCAGATGTGATATTAAGCCAGATTGTCAATAGCCCCGGAGAAAAGGATGGTTGTGATGCCTAAGCGTGTAGATTTACGAATAAAAAATTATAATTAATATGTTGGAACGGTGGCTGGCAGCTGTCCGTAATACATTGAGACCGAAATCGAGTTCTAGCCCAAGATTAAACCCATTATGGTCCCTCCCCATCCATCACTTGTTGTGTTCATCGGGAGTTACAAAGCTTTTCGGTACCACTTGCTCGTTGTCATTCCAGCCATCCCGTGTCGATCTTCTCGTGTTGAGATCCTCCTCGCTGCTATTGCTGATCTTTTTGGTCTTGTTCGTTGTTTTCATTGAAAAAGCCATGCTCTTCCTCCTTCTACGAGAACTTTGGCTTTGTTGTTTCTTTTGGCAGGCGGGAGTCCCACAACATGTGCAAGGAAAGTAGGACATGTCGTAGACGTCTTTGTGGGTCGCAGTAGGGGATCTAATGTCGTCGTCGTTCATGGCGGCAAAAGCGGAGGGTCGTCTGGGAATATCTTCGGTGACACGGATCGGGTACGACTTCGTAGACCAGCCCAGCTTATACCCGATGACCTTTAACAGGGGCCGCAGGGTTGCCAAACTTCCAGCAGTGATCGCGAGCCCTTGTTCAATGGAAGACCAAATGGCGACATCGAGGGTGGCCCCTGTAAAACAGTAAGAACTCGACTTGAATCATGTGCCTGATGGTTTGAGGTGTGGCTTACAGAGAAAGTCGGGATCTTTGATGCGCATCAAGTATCCAAACCGGACAACGACAGCTGAGCTTGCACTGATGACGATTAGCACCGTTGGGGTAAGTCATCGAGCATACGAAAACTTACACGCAACCCATCATCAGCAGGGGGATCAGGGCAAACTTTGTCCGCGTCGGCACTTGCAAGTTCCAGACGATAAAGGCCGGTAGGATGGCGAAAGTAAAGTCGGATAGGACGCTGGACGCACTGTACGCGTACGCCAGGCCAATGACGATATCGACGTTGATACAGCTGCCGGCCTGGTCCTTGTTCCAGAAGAAAGACACTGGCTGGCACTGGAAGAGGGTCACGAAGAAAAAGATGATGCCAGAAATGACGGTGAGGAGCATGGCGACGTAGACTATCCATTTGTGGACTTTTTGCGTCGTGATTCTCATCAGGAAATATGCAATAGACATTTTCGAGATGACCATGCTCATACAGTAGAAGAGATAACACCACCACCAACGCTACGGAGTCCCAAATCAGTGAAAGCTCAAGTGTATGTCTGAATTTTATGTCTCGTTACTTACTTCGAGTGCTTTGGGGATGTCCTCCTTGTTGATGTCCTTGTGGTGTCTCCCAGTGCCATAGGTAACCCCGGATATAGAGAATGCGGAATAACAAGCAAAGAAAGCCTTGTCAGAGTCAGATCAAGCTTGTCCTTCAATATGGGCCGTTCAGTTGCTTACCATAGCCAGTACCATGAGCCAGTCGTCAACTCCAAAAGCCCTAACCAGGCCAGCTCGGACAAAACATCGAAGCGCTGTGGCCAAGATGGCCGCTGAAACGAAGACGACATTAACCGCCAGTAGCTCGGGCCCGCGATTCTCGGTCATGGCGACGATGGTTGTGTATCCGGAGACGGGTGTTCTTGAGACGCAGAAACCCTCCCATCCCACTCGAAAGAAACGCAGGGCTATGAAGGCCTAAAGAAGGCTAGATCCAGGTCCAGTGATTCTTTATATCCGTCAATCGGTAGACGCAGTAGAACAGCAAGAACTTTACCTATAGGGCACCGGGCACTTGGGACAGGGGAAGATAAATCTGCTTTGCCTCATTTTTCGTCTTCAGACCCTGGCCCGAAGCCCCAGCCCGATTGATAGTGCGTAACCATGCATTTGGAAAGCCGTCTTAAATTACCATGACGAGAAAAAAAATGGGTTCTTCAATCGACGTTTTTCTTCTTGGAATCGCCGGAGCCATTTGCCGAAACGGGATTGGTTGCTGCGTCTTGTGGTATATCCGGACATAGCCCGCAGGCACCATGTTTTTTTTTTCCCGCGGGGTTTTTGACACGTCAGGGAAGATCCTTAAGTCGGGACCAATCCTCTTTCGGAGATCAACTCCGGTGAAGATTCTATCACTGGCCACGGGGGCTCGTCCGGAAGTTAAGGGGCTATAGCAACCTTGCTGCGCATCCGCGGTGGCCGTGCGGGGCGGGTAGCATTCCGTCTGAGACATGGAAATGATCAGCAAAGCTCAGAAAGGAACTTGCGGGTTCGGCATCTACAACCCTGGGTCTTTATCATTACAAAAGACAATTGCCGTGTCTTCCAAGACCGTCAAGGTTTCAGTCCATTTCCACTGACGAGGGGTGCATCCCGTAAGTGCGGAATCTTCTCATGTTGGCCGCAAGGCAGTGGCTTCATACGGGTGGCCCCAACATTGGTTGCTAAGGTCCTGGTAGGTGATCCTACAAGGGTCGAACTGTGTTGCCATACGAAATGCTGAAAGCCATCGTACAATGTTAGTCTAGTTTTCGCACCTAATGTACTATGGTATCTGGCCAAAGTAAAATGCCCCTTAAAATGCCCCTGTCAGGTATGTAATGCACAGCTGTCAGTGACTTTTCCCTCTATCACTTATCACTATCACCATTACCATCACTATTACTATGGCTATTAATCTCCCTGCTACCTCTATTACTCTTATTACTCTTACTATTTGATAACAGTATTTACAGGCCCTAAATATTACATAGTTTAAGGAAGTGACTGGCAGACCTTCTGTGCCGAGGTAAAAGGCATCGAATTAGACGTGGAAATAGAAAGGGATAGAAGATGTACTGCTATCCTGATTATGTTAGCTTTGGGGCGCAACATCATAGGGGTATTTTATATTCCCTTGCCACCTTGCATGTCCTGAAGCATAAACTAGGCGTGCCAGGGGCTATTCCATCCCCAGAAGCCACATTACCTTTCTAATACCTCTAGCACGTCAAATGGCCAACCTACTAACTATACGTGGAATTTAACGAAGCAACTCCTTTCAAGCCGCCTGAATCCATTATAGAGTGGCCTTACCTGCGAGAACCTTAGCTAAGCTGTCGTTCACAATGAATAAGCAATGGCCCATTCGCTTGCTAGACCGTCATGGGTATTAAGTGTGGACTCGTCTATCCACTTCGGCGTCTTTTCGGTGTCAGTGCACCGGCGCGGCTTGCTCGGTCTGAGTACACTGTGATAGCCCTTGAGACCTCGTGAATAAGTAAACAGAATTTGATAAAAACGCAGTCTTGAATACGAACAGTGGGTTCGGTGATGGTTATGTGCTTGGCAGGAGGCGCCAAGGAATGGGCTCATCAAAATGGGCGCCCTTTTTCCCTCGGTAGCTGTCATTAGACGTGATCATATACTTATGCAACTTGAACCTGACTACCGTATGCTGTCACGAAGTGATATATGATAGGACAGCATCCTTGATCCGCGGAACCTTCCCGGAGTGGGGCTCCCTAACCACTCCTACTACGTAGCACATCAATCTTTTCTGGAGGAGCGTTCTTTGTCTCAGATATGAAAGAGACCATACGTGTGCTACCAGCAGGAAGTCAACATTCAAGTATGCAGAAGGGACCCTTTGCTTGTGTTTCCCTACCCGCTGGTGCTGTGAGTAAATTGATGCGTTGCTTGGTATATGATTCATTTCTGACTGTTTTGTGCATTTACAGTGGGGTGACAAAAGTCTAGCCGAATCCCCAACCAACGTCGCAAGTTATCAAACTCAGTAACACTTGCCCCTCGATTATATCCCTCGCCAACATAAAGGAGATAGCAGACGAGAGTATAGATTAATAGAGCTGCCTTTTCTCTATGTGTAAATCTACATGATCTTACTTTTCTATGTAAATCACTATTGTTTTTGCCACGATGCACTTTTTCGGGTGGGAAAAGTCATAGGAAAACGGCTTGAATTTCTATGTGTGAGACTGCCTGGACCCGTACATATACATATACGTATCTTCGTGGTGGACCAGGTAGGTGAGGTGAGACCGGTGGTACCGGACTATCTAATAATCCGGTCCCGATGAAATCCTGCATGGCTGCGCGGTGCCGTGAGGGCATCGCGAAAGTTTTAAAAAGTCGAACAGGCTGACTTCGGATAGCGAGATTGGGTGATTCCGATATTCGGCGGAGATTTTGCTTACCCACTGGAGTCTGGTATGAAGATATAAAAGTATAGTTTCAAGTGGTACTCGAGCTATGAGGATGCGGACTGCGTTTAGGAATGTGGTTTTTTTTTTCCCGCAGAAAGAAATGAAAAACCGTCAATGACTGGGACATGCGTTTTTTTTTAAGAAAAGTAGGGAAGGATTGCCGAAAAATCACATTGGCGATGTTGTGCGACTGAAAGCACATCATGACGGCCTGCACAGTGCACTCTGATACTCATAGTCAAAGCTTTGGCAGTGGAGATCCAAAATGGTCGTTCTCCCATTTTGACTAACCAGGCTTTCACATCCAGATCAAGAGCCCATCGGGCACATACCAGCACTGCTTGTGGAAAGAAGCAAACACGAAGAGTAGAAATACGATCGAGATGACGACAGTTTGCGACTCCGTGCTTCCAGTCAGATCCGGAGTGGCCATTCCAACGATCAAAGCAATCATCATACAGAGACGTATACCCGTAGAGACATGCTGCTCATCAAATGACGGGAAGGGTAGCAATTCGAAGAACAGAGTCCTGTACTCCGTAGTGGCCAGAAAGAAAATCCGTATTCGGTGATAATTGAGGAAAGCTGTTTCAGACTCGGTTCGAGAAAGAGAGTCTATTGGACGTTGGGCCCCCAAAGAGCCCAATCGGTATGTTTCTGTTATGTAAGCTGCAATTAACGAACAACCCTTGCAGATAGCGATAAGATCCTCAACCAAATCTTCATTCATAACTCAAGTCACATGTCGCCTTTGGATAATTATTCAATATTACGCAACCAGGCGCTTTGGTATGGATCCCTCTCACCTCCCATTAGACGAGCAACTCATCCACCTCCGGAAAACCCTCTCCACAAATGAAACGCTTGTCAAAGTCCTCTCCCTCGCGCGGACCCTCAAGCTCCCCAACTGGTACCTAGCTGGTGGCGCCGTCTCCCAAACGATCTGGAACTCCGTCGCCGGCCTGGCCCCCGACACCGGCATCTCCGACTACGACCTCGTCTACTTCGACGACTCGGATGTCTCCTACGAGGCCGAGGACGCCGTGATCCGCCGCGGCCGCGAGGTCTTTGCGGGGATCCCCGTCGAGGTGGAGATCCGGAACCAGGCGCGGGTGCACCTGTGGTACCCTGCCAAGTTCGGCGTGCCGTGCCCCCAGCACAGGTCTGTCGAGGCAGGCATCGACACGTGGATCTCGACGAGCGCGATGATCGGGGTGAGGCTCGAAGAGGATGGCCGGTGGAAGGTGTATGCGCCGATTGGGCTCTCGGAGTATTACAGGATGGTGGTAAGACCAAACACAACGGTCGGAGTGAAAGAAGCGTATGAGGAAAAAGCGAGACGGTGGTTAGGGATCTGGGAGGGGTTGACTGTTATGCCCTGGCCTGAAAACCAGACGCCTTTGAGGTTTAGGGAAAAAACGGAGAGTGAGCCAGTGTTTGATCATCAAAGCCGTACTTGACGAGTGTGACCCGAACGTACTCGTATATGTAAATTATCACGTGGGATAGAACGCATTGATCGCTACCGGTAATTGATGAACTAGAACCCGCTTCTATCAACAATCATCTCGCCCAACATCTTCACGACTCCCTCCTTTCCCTTCTTCGCATACGCCTCCAGATCGTCGCCGTACTTCTCCTCGAACTTGCCGTCAAACACCTCGACCGACAACCAACCCCGGAACCCGGTACTCATGACCGCCTCCAAGAACTGCAAGATGGGCAGATACCCGCCGTCATATGGCAGCGGCCTGTAATCGTGGCTCCAACGCCCCCTCGGCCGCAGTCCGCTCTCATCGGGCTTGTTCCCCAACGGCGGCTCGACCTTGTACGCGTCGCTGATTTGCAAGAAGTACACCTTCTCCGGCGGCACCGCCTTCGTCAGCTCCTGCAGCGATATCTCGTAGCCCATCTTCAGCTCCCTCTCCCCGAGCCCGCCCGTCTCGATCCGCCCCGACGCAGTCGTCGGGTCCCCCCACTCACCGCCCGCGGTCTGGAAGGTGTCCAGGCACAGTCCCAGGTTCGGGCGGTTCGCGAGCTGGACGATCTTCCACACGTCCTTCCACGTGGGCGCGTGCGTGGCCCAGCACCAGTTCTCGTAGGCGACGCGGAAGCCCCGGGTGGCGAGGAGGTCCGCCAGCTCGGCGAGGTCTGCGACGCGCTCTCCGACGGACGACGTAATGCCGGGCGCGTCCGAGGACCCGACCTGCAGCATGTCCGTCCCGACGGCGCTCATGATCTCCATCCACCCCCTGGCGCGCTCGGAAGCGTCCTCGCGCTCCCTGCTGCCCTTCGGCCACCCTTCGAAGTTGGCAAACGGCTGCAGGACCATGATCTGCAGCTTCTTCCGTTCACACAGCTCGCGGACGAGTTTTCCGGCCTCGCAGAGGGAGGCATAGTCGTCATCGGCGATTTCCCCCCTGTTGAGGTGCCGGCTGGCAAATGACAGAAGGTCCGGGAAGGAGAGCTCTATGCCGTTGAAGCCGGCCGCAGAGATGGCGTCGAGCTTCTGCTCAAGGGTGTGGCGGGGGAGGCCGATGGAGCAGGAAGCAAAGGAGATTGGGTTGTTGAATGGGGAGGTGGATAGAGTTGACATTTTGACGAACTCAGTGTTTTCTTTCGAATTGATCTGAGTTCAATTTCAATTTCTGTAATTCTCTTGTGAAAAAGTCGAGTTTTTGGCATTAATATATAAAATCTCATCATATGGATGGGATGGGCTTTGTTTGCCATTTGATGATGTCAGAGTTGTGATGTCAAAGGCATGTCACTTTACGCTAACGGTCAATCCCCCGCATGGCAAACGCTCCAGGGCTGGGAATGGAACAAAATGAAGTCAAAAAGATATATTCTGTAAATTGATTCTACTTGCAAGTCTTTGCATCTCCATGTTCTTTGTTCTATTGCAGAAGCTCTAGGATATAAGGATGGTCAGGCGAGTCAGTCAAGCTTCGGTTGGCCGTTCTTGATGATCTCGGCCTTCTTGACGGACTGGATCAGACCGATGCCAACGGCTGCGCTCGCGCCCTCGTCGAGCTGCGTCGTCCAGAACGAGTCTTGACCCATGGCCCTCATCGATTTGCGTCTCTCCCGCTCGGCGACGGAGAGAAGCAACCCCTGTCGCTTGGTCGCCTCGATCTCCTCCAGGTGTTTCGCACGCCTGGCGTACCGCTTCTGCCTCTGCTTGCGGATCTGCTCCGACCCGATGCGCTGTAGCACGAAGCGCACCACGGACCGGAGCGCGAGGAAGATGTGCTCGCTGACGAAGATGGTGAGGGGCAGCGCCCACCACGCGCCGCTGCCGATGCTGTTGGTGCCAAAGAGGTGCACAATGGCGCCGGTCGTGAGGCTGCCGGCCCAGGTGAGGAAGTCAAGAGAGTTGATCCACGGGCCGATGCCGTCGGTCCGCACGGGCGCAGGCCGCTGGTGCTCCATGCAGATCTTGAGGAAATCCGTGCGCAGCTCGACGACGTTGTTGATGAGGAACCCGATGGGGATCAGCGGCCAGACGGGCGAGAAGAGAGCGAGGTAGCCGAACTGCAGCACGATCTCGGCGATGTCGTCCTGCACGTTGTACCGATCCAGCGTCGCCTGGTTGCGCGCGCTGCGCAGGAACCGGGCCTCCTCGGGGTCGTCCTCGACGATGGACATGAGCATGGTGTCCTTGGAGTGGGCGCGCCGCCACTCGCGATAGATACCCTGCGCCTTGTGCTTGAGGACGGGCATGATGTTTTCGTCGAAGAAGCCCGTGATCTGGCCGGTGACGACGAGGGCGATGACCTCGTCGCGGAGGCGGTCCGCGTTCACGTGGAAGGTCAGGTCATCGTCCATGTACTTTTGCCCGATAGCACCTAGAAAGCTCTTGGTGAGGCCCTCGAGCCAGGGGACGAAGGTGTCGCCGAAAGGCACGTAGATGAAGGCGGTGATTAAGATGGGCAGGTAGTTGGTGATGATGCTGAGGACGAAGATCTTTTGCGTCAGAGACATCTCGTGGTTGTCGGCGGTGCGATGGTTTTCGTAATTCGTGAGTGCTGTGGCAATGTCTTCGAGGGCGCTGCTGAGGTAGGGTATCCCGATGGCGAGCAAGCACGTTGGCACGTATTCCTGTGGAGGGCCGTCAGCGAGGGTTCACGTCCGGGAGGATGCCAAGACTCGGACTACTCACCATCAGGTTCTTGTGAGGTCCGTCGTAGCCTTCCGAGATGAGGACCTCGATGGCAAAGACGAGCACTATGATGGCGCCGAGAACTGCGGCGGAAATCATAACAAAAGGAATCTGCAGCAGTTGACGGGAAATCTGCTTCCACTTGGGGAAGTAGTGTATCTCACGACCGGTGTCATCCTCGATGACCTTTTCGTACTTGAACTGGGGCCGGTTGACCTTGACCTTGCCGACGCCCTGAACGTTCCAGCGGATGCTGAGATCAACCTCCTGGATCTTCCAGTACTCCAGAAATATGGTGCACCAGACACAGGTTGCGATTGCGTAGGTGAGGGAGTACTTGGAGAGGTATATCCAGGCGATGACGCCGGTGATGGCCGGGAAGGTGAGGAACAGGAGATATGTTTGGATAAAGGCAAAGTAGAAGGCGACCTGGATGTCGGTTTAGAGGGCAAGTGGGAAGCGAGAAAGAGTAGAATACAAGTACTCACCTTAGGGCCCCAGAGGTCGCGGATGTCATCGATGTCGTCCAATGTCAGGAACAGGCGCTTGCTAAGGTGCTTCATCAGAGACTGGTTCGTCCCCTCATTGTGCAGGGGAAAGATGGCCTTGACGTTCTTCCATTGCCCCGACTCTGGCGTGATCCCAGCGCCACCCAAAGACTTTGACCAGTTGACGAGATGATAGACGGAGAGGAGATCCTCGGCCTCGAAGGCGCCATCAACAACTGTGTTCTTGGTTCCGCCGGGATGCTCCGGGGCGATGCCATAGAGCCAGTCTTTGACCCTGATGGAAGTCAGCTGTGCTGGCCCAGAGGAGGGAGACGTGAGAGGGCGACTGACCTTGCCTTGTAGACGGTGTTCCCAAGCAGCTCTCGCGGGGCTTTGGCAAAGACGAGCAGGGTCTGGTCATAGCCAGCCCTCACCTCAGTCTGAAGGCCGGTAGATTGGAGGTCGGTTAGCAAGGTAGTGAGCTCCTGGACAGCTTTCTCGCAGTCTGGACGGAGGGTCAGCCAACTTTAGCAGCACACTGGAATGGTGCAGCGACAGCATACCGACTTCACTGGAATCGTAGGCAACGACATATGTGTCGTTGTAGGACTGCGGCGTGTGGGGAAGGTTGGCCAAGGGGTCTGACACCCCTAGTTTCTCCATTATGCCCATCCTCTCCCTCCACACCACTCGCGACTAGGCGAGGGGGGAATGCGTGATTATCTAGGTAGACAGGACGAACAGGACTTCGGTACAGCCGATGAGATAGGGGGTTATGGGTGGTGGGGATGAGGGTGATGGATCAACATCTCAGTGCCCGTCTCTCCACAGGAAGAACAGGTTATCCAGAGGGCGAGAAAGGGAGAGTGAGGGGCGGCAGATAGTGGGAATCTTGGAATTTCAACCCTGCTATGGCACGACGACGGATGAGGAAAAGGAAAAAGAAAGCGTAATGTGGCCCTCGCCTCGCCTCCCCTGGAAACGTCGGCACACAGCGCGTGCCGCGATGACCTCCCTCTGGCTCGAGCTTCTCTTGGCCCGGTCCGCTGTGCTCGGGGAACCGGCAGCTGAACGCGTCAGCGGCCCCGCCCGCCGAGAGTTAGCGCTGCCGCAGAGCCGCTGATCCAGGGTCCAGAACTCCTGCGATGTAGTTGCTGGGGAACCTTGGTTGGATTAGTGGTCGACGTGGCTTGGTTAGTCGGAAACGCCCCGTTCCTCGAGTTATGTTCTCGTCCCAGGCAGCTTGCACGTAGGCTTTCTCTTGGTGGGCTTGGTGGGGATGTCAATTCAAGTGTGGTCGAGCTGGAGATGACGTCTTGATACAGACACACGCACACACACACATGGACTTTTATACAATTTCCTGTCGGGTTTTACACATCCTCATGTTGGTCGAGTGGTCCGCCATAGGCGTGGCTCTGCGGCGCACGGGAATAGCGGAAGACTGATTGCAGGCCAGGGGGTGCGAGAATAAAGCCTATTTTCGCCAACAACGCTTTGGAGACGGCGGCCTTCTCGCTGACAACTGGATTGTTCGTTATGTGCAGCCCCGGAGAGCAATGTAGAGGTGGGAGAGAGGATTTGCGGCAATAAGGGCTGAAACTATATCATTGAGCGGCGGCGTTACCAATGCAAATGCAAATGCAAATGCTCATTATCATCCCCCGTCCGCCCCTTGTTTCAGAGTCTCTGCTAGGGCTGTAATCATCCCCGCAAATGAAGAACAATTTGGAGCTTTGATTGCGATGGCCGATCTTCTGGGGTCTCATTTATCGAAAGCGACGACCCGACATTGGCATGCGTTGTTAATTCAAACTCCAAGTTATAATTGCATGACGAAAGGCAGTCCGCCGCCTCCATTGTCCTCCTGGTCCTCTCGGAAAGATCAGAGCTAATCTTTGAAGACTTGCCGCATCAACACCGACGCCACCAAGGCTTTGATTTGTATAATAACGTGGCAGGTTCCCCGAGCTCCCTGCATCCGGTTGATGGCCTGCGCAGCGCCGCGCTGGAGACCGTCACGCCCACGGTCCGTGTCGAAGGTCGACAGGAGGGATCGAATGTATCGGTTGGGTCGTCCGAGGTTATCGTCCAAGGTGTCTCTGCGGATGTCTCTGCGGATGAACCTATCCGGGTACTGTCGGCCGTAGTCGAACTGAACGACCGTCCGGCTGATGATGACGTCGCCCAGGATGATCTCGTCGCCGGTCCCAGGATTGGGCACTCCGCCGCAGATTCCAGTCACGATGGCCAATCCAAGTCCCGTAAAGCTCGATCGCAGGCTGGCAGCGGCATTCGGGGAGCGATGTCTGCTGATTGGCGGGTCCTTTACTGACAACGCGTGATCAGGCCGCATGCTCAAGACCGAGGAAAAGCGTAATGTTGCAAACTCCTTGGGACGCATCGTGAAACCACGCCCAAACGACTGGACGAATAGCTTCACTCAAGCCCGATGGACCCGCAGACATTCAACGGTCCGCTGCAGGGCCAAAGCGTCGTCGCTGGCATGCGCGTATCGGGCGGGACGGCGAATGTCCACTTCCACCACTCCTCCGACCGCACACAGGACGCACGTGTGCGAATCTTGCCCTTCTCCCGTAACGAGGACGTTGTCATCCGTCCCAGCATCTTCTCGCAGCTTGATAAGCTGCTACCCCCCTCCGAATCCCGCAGCGCTGCTCTTTGGGGACTCGGCGGATCTGGGTGAGTGTTTTGTCCTGTCAAGTTCTCCGCGCACGGCAGAGCTTACGGGCCCAGGAAAACGCAGGTCGCCCTCGAGTTTGCCTACCGACGCACCGACATCGGCATCGAACGACGAAGAGCTGCTGAAGGCAGTGTGTCACTTCATTGAGTCACGGCCACGGTGGTTGCTCGTTCTTGATAACGCAGACGACCTTAGGCTGTTCGGAGTTGGTGTTGCACATGACAACTCAGCCACGCAATCCACACCAAAAAGCTTGTATTCCTGCATACCCAAAAGCCCTTGTGCGTCGATTCTATGGACGAGTCGCGATCAACGGATTGCCGGTAGTCTTGTTGGCCCATTGTGGGCCATTCAAGTCACTAGCATGCTTCCTGACGAGGCATACTCCCTCTTCGCGACGGTCAGGGGCAGCGCTTTAAACGGCGTAGAGATTAATATTGATGATGCTGTAGCGCTGCTTTCCGAGCTTCACTACATCCCGCTTCCGGTATCCCAAGCTGCTGCTTATATCAGAAGAGCAGCCACGCCAATTAAGAAATATCTGACCCAGCTTAGAGATGGCAAGAAGTGATAGGCCCTTCTCAAGAAAACCGGTTTTGATCGCCGTGGGCGCGAGGGAATCAGCAACAGCATATTAGAGACCTGGAATATCACCATCGAGCATCTCAAGGACGAAGACGAAACGGCAGTCAAGATTCTGAATATACTGGCGTATATTACCAACCACACCATCTCAAAGGATATCATCAAGGCCGCAGCAAAAGCAGCAGTAAGCCTGCTATTAGGAGCGAGTATCGACAGCCGGATGCAGTCATTCACAGACGACGACACCGCCGACGACACCGCCGACGACACCGACGACAATGACGACGTCACTGAAAAGGCAGTCACTCGGTTGCGAGAATTTCCATTTCTGTACATGACAGTGAGCACTGATGGCGAGCCAATGTTTGATACGCACCAGCTTGTGCAGAAGGCTACACTGTACAGCCACCGTGTGTGGGACTCAATACGCTATCAAAGAACGGCAGAGCAAATGATGAGGAAGCTATTACAAGCAGGCCCAACAAACTTGAAGAGGTGTATTAGGACATATGTACCCCACATGGTACAAGCTTTTTCGCTGTCGGGTGATTTACCTGGGCAGGACCTTCAAAGAGTCCATATAATATGTGAGCTCTCAAATGCCTGTGGAAACAAATCTACTTCGCTGCCTCAGTTTGCTGCCGTTCTTGAACAAAAGCCATGGGATGGGCAGCAGAGGCAACGAGAGAAAAGCAAACACACTGCCGGCCCAGTGAATGCCGAGCTTCTCGTACATTTGTATGGTGAAGAGTGGGAACACAGCGCCCATTGTGTAGCGAAGGATACCATTGGCGGCGAGAGCTAGGAGTTGCAATTAGCAATGTGATCGAGCAAGGGCGGTGGGATGACGAACCAGACGCTGCAGCTCTGGGCCCGTAGAAGTCCACCATGTAAGTGATGACTGACAACTAAGCCGTTTCATTAGTATCCCGTTCGCTCAGGGTTGAAATGAGATGTCGGCTCACGAAAAGACAAAAGGCGCCAAGCCCGAATGGAATACCAGCCGCGACAAGAGCAGCCCAGTTACCGCCTTCACGTGCTTCCCAGGCATACCTACTCCAACGATCAGCAAATCAATTTCTGACCGGGACTCTAAAGCCTTCATAAGGCTACCAACGTACCAGAACAGCCCAAAAGGGATTAAAACGCTGCCCACAAGAGCAGCATACAGCCGCTGCTCCGGTGTAGCTGTTCCAGCCCGCACGGCAGGCATCCGGAATCTAGCATCAAGGAACCCATATACCAAGGCAGCTAACATGTACCCAATAATGATGCTGATGAAACTCAACCCTACTTGGCGGGGGTTGGATCCGTAGTAACGCTGAAGAACGTAAGAGCAGCTGGCGAAGTAGCTGAAAATCATCGCGTACGCGTAGGCAGTGTAGAGGGCCAGAGACGAGACGATGATCTCCGTAAAGAGCATTTTAGTCGGCCTCATGACAGCCGTCTTGGCGAGACCCCCGAGGCGGCTGAGGGTCACCGTTGGTTCCCCGTTCTCCTTCCGCAAGATCCAAGACTTCGACGTCTCCCTCATCAACAGTATACCCACCCAAATCGGGGCACCGACCATGAGGAGGACATACTGCGTCCACCGCCAGTCGCCGCCCCTAGCTTCCAAGACATACGCTCCGGCCAATGGACCGAGTGTAGGTCCCAGAAACGGGCCGAGAATGAACAGCAACGACGCGGCCGTGCCCTTTCCCAGCTCCCACACATCGGCGATCGTGCCAGCGCCAACGGCTATCCCCGCAGAGCCCAGCGTCCCTGCGAGGAAACGGCACGCTAGGAGCGCGGGGAACGTTGTCGCGGAGGAGGAACCGCCGAGGAACGCGAGGAGAAACGTGCAGGAGACAGCGTAGAGGGGCTTGCGGCCAAAGACCTCGGAGAAGGGGGCCATGAAGAGGGGCCCGAAGCCGAGGCCGAGAGTGTAGAGAGTCAAGGGGAGGATTGAGCGAGTGCGGGAGACTGAGAATTCCTGCATGATATGTGTCGTCGCTGGTACGGTTATCGAGGTCGCGAAAGTGCTGCACGTGAGTGCTGTTAGCGAAGACTGACCACGCTGGGCCGAGCGGCATTGAGAGAAGGGTAACAAAAGGGACAGATACATTTCAAAAGCAAGAAAACAGGGGATTGCGGTGTGAAGGATCCTCATAGCGGTGCTCCAGTTCCTGGGATTTCGTATCTCGCGAGGGTCATCCCATGCTATCTGTGGCTGCTGGCTGTCATCTTCGAATGATGTGGTTTCGCCTTCCACCTGCTTTTCAACATCTGTGGCCGTAACACCGGCTTCTTGCTGCTGCGGCAGCGGGTTTGAGTTGAACGTTTTTTTCATATTCGGTAGTAGGATGGTTGGTTCGGTATCCTGAGTACAATAAAGAGCTCAGCAGCTCAATGATGACAACGGTGTTGTCATAGGAGCGAAAAAGTGTCCAAATGTGGACCATCGATGTTATTTGTTCCCATTGCATATCGATGTTGCCATGGTACTGTTGCCAAGGAGTTGAAATTGATTACCAATATAGGTTAGTTAACAAATTTTGGATGGCATGTGGGCAGAGCCAACTGCTCACGCATGGAAGAATTATAATCGAAGTGTGGCTATTGACAGCTTTGGCATCAGTGATCACTTTTCTTTTCACCAATACCGGTGTCAGGGCCGGTGGCCCTCGGCATGGCGGCAGCGTGCTGATGTGGATGATTAGTGATCTTGTTGGAATAGTAATCCGCCTCGAGGGTACTGCAGGAGCACCTTCACTTGATTTGATGGAAACAGCAGACTCGGTGCAGAGGCAAGAATTCAGTTAGCTATTTAAAGTCCAAATATATTCCACCCGCGTTTCGAAAAACCCTCTTTCATTTTATTCACAGCCGACTTTACAGAACTAACTTCGATTTCATGTTACCTCGTGATCTTTGAAGTCCGTTGTGCTTCCTTAGGCCTCTACCGGGAACATCTAGTCGGGTTTAGTGATTAGTGAACCGATGACCCTCAGAGGACGCGTTGATAATAATATTCCGAGGTACACTTGAACGGAAGGGCAATTTAGAGGGATGCGTGTAATTAAGTACTACGTACCTAGACAGGTCATGCTTTAGACTCAAGCTACTCATGAAAGGGCAAGTAGAACAAGATCTCATCAGAATGATGCTACTTAGATAAACCGCAGCGTTTGGTCATCATGATTGTACTATAGTTGTCCTATCAAGAAACTACGTATGAACCGGAGGATTGGTAGAAGTACTCATCCCAAGTGGTCTGTGCGGGCGGTACGCAATATCTGTAACGGCCACAACTGATATGAGCCACACGACGTTATTACAGCTTCATGACACCTACTTACGTATATAGATTTACTAGTCCAGTTGAAATCGACATTACTAGCGACTGACTTTGCAGTCGACACAGTCTCCATGCCCACCTCTCGGTCGTAAAACTGCAATTGTCCAAGGATACCTCGGTATAGAAATGGCAGTCAAGCCCCCTTAGATGACACACGAAAAAGAATCGATGCTCTCATTCCGGCTCAACACAACCTTTTCATATTCAAATACATTCCCACATCACAATACCATTTCGATGTAACATGACGTGGTAAAGCGGGTTCCCGCGAAGGAACTTTCTCAAGTTAGAGACACTTCCCTCACGGTTCGTGATCCTCTTCTTCGAGTCAAGCACTAACCAGATCGGAATAGCCGTGAGGGATGGCAAACTTGAATACAGGAAGCACAGAAAATGGGTTTGGTGGAGGCTCGAACACGTTCCCGAATGTCTGGACACAACTTGGGCATGTAGTGAGCCCCTTCTTTATCTACGTGACAGGCGACTAAGTCGAGTGCTTGCTTGAGTTCTCGGCCTTGCCAATAGGATGTCAGCCGGTGGTTCTTGCAGCAGAACCCCTTGGACGATATATTCAGCAGTGCGTCGTTTTCAACGAACATCTCAAGCGCGGGCAGATTGCTACACAACAGGAATATCCGGTAGATTGAACATTGTGGAGCCGAGGGCATCAGTGCGTTTCCGCATTGTTCGAATGTGGCTTCCGTAGACCTGTAAGCGCTTCTACAACAAGCTTATAACTGGCACAATCCCTCTGGCGTCTGCGAGTCGGTCTCGACCAAGCGCACAGAGAAAACTTCCTGCTGCTTCGCCGCCATTTCGAGAACATGGTCGGGGAGCCTTCTCCAGGGACGCTTGCAAGACTGGTGATGCGTATTGCATGCTGTTAACCACTTGCACATCTTCTCAAAAGACTTGATAGAACTAGTACGGATATTGGTGCTTTGCCATAATTAGCGTCATGCCAAGCAGGCTGATGACTAATATGTGAGTACCTAGGCATTACATGGTGGGATACTTTAGTATATAAAGGGCAAATTACCTGCTCACTCGGCCACTCTGTTATTACACGCCCCTTTCCTCGCCTCTCAGTCACAATCAGTCATGGTGAACCTTTCAGGACCATTTCAAACAACACACTACTACCAAGTAGTTGAACCATACCTAAGACATGGAGAAAAAAGCGGGAACAGACAGTATCTGGCGCACATTCTACAGAACTGGAACCCCAGCATCGACCCGGACAACGATATCGGCTGGGCGTTACATTGGGCCATCTTCCTGGGAGACGACGCGGCTGTGAGAATGATGGTGGACGCTGGCGTGAGTACTGTCTTAAGGGATCAACAGGACCCTGGATTCACGCCACTCTTGGCCGCTTCGCAATATGGCAAACTCGAGATGGCCCGTCTATTTTGGGGACTGCTCGGCCCAGAAGGGCGCTTTCTCCCCAAGAAAAGAGGCAAACCTATCCCCGACTGCCTCCAAGTGGCTTCTAGGAACAACCATCCAGATCTCACCGCCTACTTCCTCGACGTCTGGGACGGTTGGGACAAGGAGGAGAGGCGCAGAGCCCTGCACGACGCGGCATGGGCGTGGTGCGATGACGCCGTGGCAGTGCTGCTGGCCAAAAAGCCCCCGTACGAACCCGATGCCATTCAAGATGTTCTGGAGAGGGCTGTCGGCAACAGGATGATTCTTCCCGAACACGAGACAAAGCCAGCACCAACTGCCGCCGACGCAGCACACCAACGACGGCTGGTCAGCCGGCTCATTGACGCTGGCGGAGATCCGGACGGCGAGGACCGTCGTTCTCGCAGACCCCTGATTCACACAACGCTGCTATCTCATCAATGCACCGGCGCCCTCGAAGCGCTGCTGGAAAGGGGAGCAACCCCCAATCGTCTAGACGCCCGCGGCAAGACGCCTCTCAGCTACGTGTTTACGCCCCTCAGAAGAGAGCGCCCTGATACCGCTGCTCTTGAGGCTCTTCTGCAGCATGGCGCGCTTCCCGAGCTGGCGCACGCGGCCGGGGAGACACCGCTTCACGCCGCCGCCAAGACGGGAAGCCACGAGCAGCTCCAGCTCTGTCTTTTGCATTGCCGCGGGGAGGGCGTACAGCTACGGAGCTCGCACCAAGAATCGCTCCTACATTACGCCGCAGCGGGAGGACAGAAAGACACGGTCGATTTCTTACTGGGCTCTGGCCTGGAGGTGAATGCGGCCAGCAGCAATGGATGGACCCCTCTTTTGTGCGCCCTGACGCCGACCATAGGGAAGAGCACAGCCAGCATGTGCGAGACGGCCGAACATCTGCTCCAGCGTGGCGCCGACGCTCGCGTCGTGACTGACGAGGGGTGGACCGCCCTTCACGCCTTGGCGTCTTGGCCAAAGGGGAGGGACTCGGAGACCGCAGCCGAGGTGGTGAATCTTGCGCGCAAGCTGATCGAGGGCGGCGCCCCCATCGACCTCAAGTCGCGAGTGATTCGTAGCCCATCGACCACTCCGAGCATGTTATGTGATGTGTGGGGTTTCCGGATGAGAGAGTTCGTCGTCAACGCCATCCCGTCCCCGCAGGATCTAGGACAAGCGCACACCACTACACCACTCATGTGGGCCAAGAGGTGCGATTCCACAGACGTCCTGGACGTTTTGACGGCACATCAACCCGCGGATAAAGGTCCACCCCAGGTCTGATGACCCGTTGAATTAAGGGCCTCCTCAAGAGTTTAGCGGTTCGAGGCTGCAGTGATGTTGTTTCGAGGCCAGAAAAAGGCAAAAGTATATATTCATTCCCCAAAACCATAGATGCGGCTCTACGCCTGCAAGGTCTAGATTTCCTTCCTAAGAATCGAAATATCATGGTTGTTAAAGGCTAGGAAACAGCCATTTAAGGTAGGTTAAAATTGCTAAGACAATAGGTCGCGCAGCTCGAATGGCCGTAGTTGCAGGCCAGAGTTCTACTACTAAAAGGAGCGCGTTTGGAAATTAGCAGAAGAGTAGTAGGGTCTCAGAGTGATATTTTATCGCTCTCTTCCGCCACTAAGACTGCTCAGGCCAATGCCTCCAACTGCCACATCGTCACCCATTCTCCCTCTAGAATTAGCACCAAGTTGTCAAACACCCAGGAGTCCAAACTCCAGAGCATCATCACAAGCAAGTTGCAAGGCAATAAAGCTATTACAGACGCCAAGATAGCGCAGGACATTGTCCCTTATAGCACGCGAACCATTCGTACTGCCTGATCTAATATACTCTAACATAGTTCAGTTGAACCTCTACGTAAGGCGATAGGCCGACCTAAAGGTAACAGAGAACATGTGGCCAGCTTTGGAATACTAGCTAGGAAAGAATCCTTACATAAGTCAACAAGCCATAGCTAATTTCCTCAATAGGTAATACCACTTCAAGGTATTACTATTTACCAACAGTAGGACGCTACAACGAGCCGGCTGGACGAAAAAGGTGACCTAAAACATCGCAAAGGAGCGTAGCCAGGACTTTCGACACAACTACACCGAGCGGCGATTGCATTACAAGGTTAACTAGATGGTCTTTATTGATGAGAGCGGAAGCGATCGAGGCCCGGGGATACTGGAGCAAGGCTATGCGCTGCAAATAAGTACTTGCTGCAAGGGAAACTCGTCAAGTACTAGATTATATACACAAATTCATATCCAAAGTGTCATTGGTGCCAAGGATGCCGGCTCTGGTGCATGACTTGTGAGGCCTTCTGACGCACCAGGAAATGATGTGGTCATCACAATTAGCTAATCATGCATTAGCCCGAACGTTGTTTAACGTCGGCAACCTTGAAACCCGGCCAACACCGGAACACGTTCCAAAACTCCGTTACATTTCCGCCCCACGTCGCAGCCGCTACCGCTCAAATGCACCGCAGACCCGGCCGCCCTTACTGGCCAAGTTCGACGTAAGTAGATGTCATCTAATCGACTCAGCGTCGGCTATTCGGCTCAAAAAGTTCACCGAAATGCTCAAATCCAAGGATCTACATTCACCGATCCTGCCTCTTGACCACTTGCTTGGCACGAATCAAGCCGTGTCAAGCGATCCAATCAACAAAGTATCACCCGGAGTGTCACAACAGCCCGAAATCCGTCGTAATCATAGCCGATCCGGTTTGCTGTGGTGGCATGAAACAACACGTTCCGTCGTCCGAAATGCTGCGAGACGCTCAAGCCCCCGGTAAACACGGCTTCCCCCGCATGTGGTCGCTGGGATCGGCGTCATTAGATACAAGTGAACGGGAGCTTCTACAACTTTTATTGGTTGTGTGACACCTTGAATCCGTAGGCGTTTTCGGCAGGCGACTCGTTGGGATCTTGAGCGGGCGTGCTGCCGGGAGGGACCAGGTTGTAGGTGTGCTTTAATACTAAAGTATAAAGGACCGGTCCCCTGCCAAGATGCGAAAATGAAACCAAAGCTCCAAAGGCGCCTAGAGAGAGCCTAAAAATCGATGTCGGGATTGACAATACCACATTCATGATGATCATTCCATACGATATTCCAATGCTCAGCAACGTGCAGCTGGCAGTGGCTTTGCCTACCTTCCTGCTTGCTCTGGTAGACTTCAGAAGAAAAAAGATCATGGCAAAATACAGGCTGACAAACTCGACAGGTTATTATTCGACTACTTTCGAATATTGTCTATAATGTGTATTTCCACCCCCTCCGTGATTTTCCAGGGCCGAAGCTCTTCGCCGCCACACACATTCCATTCTCGAGGATGATTATCAGCGGCAAGTCGCATAAAATACTCGCAGGACTGCATGAACAGTACGGCGCTTTCGTTCGGATCGGCCCGGATACCATCGACTGTGCCGACCCGCGCGCGTTCAAGGACCTGATGGGCCACAGCAAAGGCGGCGGCGGGATGGAGAATTACAAGGACCCCATCAGCACGAGGAACAGGCCGCGCAGCATCATCAACGCTGGAAGAGAGGACCACGCTCGTATGCGTCGGGTCCTATCGCACGGATTCTCTGCCCAGAGCATGGTGGAGCAGCAGCCCCTGATCCAAAAGCAGATCGACTTGTTAATCCAGCGCCTCCATGAGCACTGCGAGGATGGAAGGGAACCTTTAAACATGGTGGCCTGGTACAACTACACAACGTTTGATATCATTGGCGACCTGGCCCTTGGAGAGCCGTTTGGCTGCCTTGAAAAGTCTGACTATCACCCCTGGGTTGCATCGATTTTCAATGCTATCCACGCGAATGTGTACAGAAATCAGCTTGGCCGCTACTGTATCACGCAATCGTTTGCGAGGAGGCTCATTCCAAAAAAGCTGAAGGAAGGACTGGTGTTTCACGAACAATCAAGTCATGAGAAGATCCAGAGGCGCATGGCTCTCGGCGAGTCAAGGCCAGATTTCGTCCAGTCCATGATGATGAAGGAGGGCAGTTTGGTAAACCTCCTTTGCAACAATTATTGAAGCAGCTCTGCGCTGACCTATCGTGATTTTAGGCTATGTCTGAATCAGAGATTGAAGAAACTGCGAATACTCTCATCCTCGCTGGTTCAGAGACTACAGCATCTGTGCTATCTGGTGTTACGTTCTTCTTGACAACACACCCGGATGCCATGGCAAAACTGGTCAAAGAAGTCCGGACATCGTTTAGCTCCGAAAAGCAAATTGACGTTCTTAGCGTACAGAAACTCCGTTATATGCTCGCAGTTCTTGACGAGAGCATGCGGCTCTACCCTGTTGTACCTATAGGTCTTACTCGTATTGTTAAGCCGGGAGGGGACTACATATGCGACAGATTCGTACCAGGAGGTGTAAGTGGACCGCATTCGGTACCTTCAAGTGCATCAGTAACCTGAAGCTAATTGACAACAGACCAGAGTATTGGTATCACAGTGGCCCATGTACTACAACGCGAAGCACTTTGCGCAGCCGGAGTCCTTCATCCCAGAGCGATGGCTCGGGGATGCACGGTTCGCGGACGACAACAAGAGTGCCCTGCAGCCCTTTTCAGTTGGCCCTCGTAACTGCATCGGACGCAAGTAAGTGCAAAAGTCTCTCCTACCTGTGGCATGTCTCCTTCTGACCTGGAATGAAAATAGCCTTGCGATGTCGGAAATGAGAGTGATCCTCGCCAAAGTCATCTGGAATTTTGACATGGAAATCGCAAATGATAGCAGAAACTGGACCGAGCAAGAGCTGTTTGGGCTTTGGAAGAAAGGCCCTTTGAACGTGTACTTGACGCCTAGAAAGGAAGAGTGAGCTTCTCTACCTAGGTATGTTTTGGATGATTCAGGAGATCATTAGCCGAGAAAGATAGCATCACACGGTATCCGATTCATTGAGTGAAAGTATCCGATACATCAGGTGAACGATGCATGAAAAAGAATAAAGTCATCCAGAGTGCGGGACGGAAGGTAAGCCGCTACTGGGATGGCTCGAGGAAGTCGGCCCGCCATCTGTGGCTACTCGGCATTGTAACAAGTATATTTCAAGGTATGTCTATGCAACTTCGATCGATTATTTAGGGATATTAGTCTCGAGGAAATGGATCTTTACCTCTCAGAAACAACTTTTCCATTCCTAGCCGTTGCGCATGGTTGCGTAGACGGCTATCCAAGGTGTAGCAGACAGAACCGCAGACAGAACCGTCGGCAGCAAAAGTCAGCGAATTGGCGATAATATAACCATTGAATTCAAAAGCCTCTATCAATAGGAGCAAGAATAAAAAGTCACTCCTCTGAAATCTTGGGTACTTGGCTTCGAGATATACATCATGGGTCTGCCTTACTGCCATAGGTCATAATCGATGCATATTCAAGCTAAAGTGAGTTGGGTCTAGGTAGAAACATGAGACAGGCAAATTATGACGTAGATTTAACCAATCACTGGAATTGCTGCTGGTATCTTGGCGTCAGCATGGCGGTGCGACTACGGCGCTGAGATGCTGTCCATCTTTTTGCCTGAAGTTGTCTCTGGACATATAAGCAAATGATACCACCTTACCGACGAAATTTAGATGATTTCACCAGATCTTAAAACTTTTTCTCTATGAATGCGTTCATCTAGCCTCATTCTCCAAAAAAGAAGATACGCTAAAGATAAGAACTCGAAACCCTTTGACCCAGACCCAACGGCGATTTTTGTTGCAACAACCCGAAGCGAACCAACCGTAGGACGATCCCTCTCACCAGTGAGAGACCACACTGAAAAATGTCTGGCATCCCATTCACCGCAGGGAGCGAAGCAGCTGGTGGCTGGCCCCCGCATCGCGGTCCCCGTCCGGCGTTCGAGCCTGGGCCGGCGGATATCAAAGCTGCCAAGAAGGCCGAGAAAGAGGCAGAGAGGGAACGTCGGACGCAGGAAATGGGGCCGTCATTCGCCGAAAGCATTGTCAAAACCATCAAGACCAGCATCGTCGGGAAGGTGCTCGGTTCCGACGCAGGCAAGCCTAAGAAGCACAGGGTTGAGCGCAATAGGGATGGCGTTCCTATCAATTAAGTCATTTGGAGACTCGAACGCCCTGCATAACTATAGCAAGGATGTTCGGCGTCATTGAGGAAGCCCTGGGGTCGATACTTTGAGTATTAGTGGCCGAATTGTAGACTACTTACGTCAAAGCGAAGCCATCAGACTTCCACCATATCACCATGTACAACACGACCCCTGGTGCTTTGCAACACAATGATCGTCAAGGGAAACAAAGGAACTTGACAGCTTTGCATTGCGAGGTAGACATCCCGCTAGATAATCATGCAAAGTCAATCTATCAATCAAACAGACTGCGTCTGCCATTCAGCGTGCAATTGTGCACTTCCTCGACACATGACCTTGCTGCGCCCAAGGATACGGACCAACCTTGACTCACCCCGCTTGATAGATGTTAGCAACACTAATACCTCGTTTGGCTGAATGAGGTCCTGAATCACACATTTCTTCTGGGGCGTTGGGCAATGCGTGGGGCAGTGCGAGCTGCGCCCAGGCTGTGCTCCTCAGGCTACGTCACACGCCGATCACGCCGATCCGGTCCCGCAATGCTGGCTGAACTATTGCCCGTGAACAAAAAGGTACCGTATACCACGAAAAGCCCCTTGGAGCATGACTGAGGTAAGGTCACAAGGGGCGGAACTGGCCCCGGTACCCCGGACATCCACAGCTCCAGTCAGATGGGTAGATTTGGTGTTGTCTCTACATCGTCTTACCCTTTCCGCACATGCACAAGTCGTCCCCCGCCGGGGCTGATTTAGGCGACAAGTTTTCAGAATCTTTGATTGGCCTGTTCGGGCATCTATGACTCCATCCTGAGACCCAGCCTGATCCTCCCTGCGCTAGAAGCCCTATAGAAGGTGGAGTTGTCGGCGATCATGGGCATCAAAGGCTCGTCGCCAAAGCTTGTGTCTCGCTCTCAAGGCAGAATCATAATATGGGCTATTCATTTTTATTTAACTACGCAGCTCTTTCCTCTGTGGATTGACCTTTCCTCATCCACAACATGAGAATCAGTTACCCTCCCTCCTACAACAAGCACACTTATCGCCCAATCACATCAACACTACGAAACAAATCCTCTACCATATATCAATGAGAAACGAAGCAACACTTTAGCTTCAATTTACTCATTCATACGTATAGACATAGCTGATATGTGCTTACCGTCTCGCTCCAAGAAGAACGCTAATTACAGCGGTTCGGACTACAAACCCCGACCCGCCATGGCTTACAACAATTACAACCACAATGGAGGCCGTCATGGGCGTAGAAGATATGGTCATGGCGGCAGAGGTAATACACCCGCTTACTGGGGCTATACCGCTGGTGATGGCGGCGGCAGTCACGGACACGGAGGTGGTCATGACGGCGGCGGCGGAGGTGGCGGCGGCTGTGATGGCGGAGGCGGTGGAGGCGGCGGAGGGTGCTAAGCATTTCGAGACGGGAAACAGTGAGGAAGCAAAAGGTTTGGACGTGCTTTGATTACTTGTATTTATGATACCTGTTTCACGAAGACAATGAAGAGAAATCGTATTCACTACTTCCTCATTGCCACGGCGCCTCATCACGACCCTATTTATTCCCTTATTATCAGATCCATTGCGGCACGTGGTTGCGTCAACACACACTGATGCTGATACCATGCTTCTTCATAACCCAATCTAACCCCCGTGGACCAAAGGCGCGAGGATCCTTGTCTTCCCATAGAAGCTGCACCACTCTCGCGGTCTCCCGTACCGCCCCCGGTGCTCGTGGGTTAATGTTCAGCCCGTATCGAAAGGCTTCGACATGATGCCTCTTGCTGCAACATGATGCCAAAACCATCACAGGCCACAGCATCATTCGTCGCAAGGGCGACTTGCCAGAATAAAAAGCCCAGCAAAGCGGAAGCATCTTGTCTATGCGCACCTCGATCTCAGCAACGAGCTCGGGACTGTCCAGGAGGTTGTCGTGGAAAGCAGCGTGGAGATAAATGATCAGGGCATTGCGGTAGATGTTGGCAGCGGTCGCCTGTTCGTACCGTGGGCTAAGGCCATCTCCTTCCAGAACGTCGGCGAATTCGTCCCATGAATTGAGCCTCGAAACAAGCGAACGATAAGACTGGTACAAACTGCTGGGCGCTTCCTTGTCAAGGTTTTCTGCGCGACGAGCTTCGATCAGCTTGGCGATCTCGGGTATCATTCCGAAAAGGCCATGCCCAAACCCAAGCATGAAACCACAGGACTTGTATTCGCCGAGGAAGGCAAGCGATTCGAGGAAGGGGTCCAAGTCCACTGGTTGATCATCCAGTTTGCCCCTTGGTGTTATTGCGAGCTCCAGGGCGAAAACTGTGTAGATTTCCAAGAGGAACCCATGAATATGCTGGAGCTTATGCGGAGACGGCCTGCGCGACTTGGCTGCCAAGGGAGCGACATATTGCCGGGTAGCTCTCAAATGGTGGTAGACTGCGCCGTTAACGTCCCCTTGTATCCCCTGCGTCTTGTTAGTCCGACATGTCGTCGACTTTCGAATGGCAATGACCTACTTCGAGAATACATAGAAGAAGAAGGACCAAAACAACATAGACTTGCTTGTCTTCCACGGCATTCCCGAGAGTCGAGCCTGCTTGTCCAGCAAGGACTTTCCGCAGCCCTGCCAAAGCCCGAGCATAATGACCACGGGCCACGACCTCCAGCTGGCGGTTTTTGGCATCTAGAACGGACATGTGGGCCCCTCCAATGGCCAGGACGCAGTCCATGATTAGGCCGTCAGACGCAGCCAGAGGAAGCACGTAATTGATGAACGGGTTGCCCTCCGAAGTGCGTCCTCGGACTAGAAGAAACGTAGTCACGGCTAGATACTGCTCATACGAAGGACGAGAAACCTCGTCCAGTTGAGACAAGGTACCGAACGTAAGTGACGACCGCAGAGGCGACATGGCTTTTGTGGCTTTGGAGCCGACCACGACGGCGGGAGAGGCGGTCTCAAAGTCGCTTTGCATTAGTCGTCGCCGGCTATGGGAGATCTCCTTCGCAGGTTCCTTCTGCAAGCCTGCTTTGCCGTTGGAGCTGGCTGTCGTCTCTTCGGGGCCGTCGCTCTTTGCAATGACGGGCCAGCTGCATTCCCTCCCACTCCGGCGGCACAACGTGCAGTCTGGTTTGACTTCGTCACATTTTTTGCGCCTTGTGCGACAGGTCAAACACCCCTCTTTGGATCTAGGGAAGTTTCGGCGGAATTTGGAGGGAAATCGTGCGCCTCGATAGGGAAGGCCTTGTTGTTCTTCCGCCAGGGATATGGTCCTCACTGATGTCGCCATCATACAAGTTGGCTGTATGAGTTGCGTGCGCGCGTAGATAGCTGGAGTGGCAGGCAACAGGCCAGAAAGGGACTCACGAGTCACGATAATGAAATAAACAACCACTAGCTACTCCGTATTTTGCCATTCAAACTTATATGGGACTTACCATGTTTGTATCATCCCCGCTTGTCTACGTGGGCCTCTCGCTTGGAGACACCGCCACTCTTGGCATCTTACTTGAGTATTTCATCGGTAAGGCAGACTTCCTGGAGCTCTCATTCATGTCAGCACTAATCCATCGACACGCGCTGCTAACCATTTTAAGCAACAATATGGGTGCGCAAGGCTACATTGAGTGGGCCCTTGTTATCTAAACGCTTACCGGTATTATTGGCAGTCGTTCTCCAATGCCCCTATTGGCTTCGTTTGCATAGGTGCCTTTGATGATTCTTACTGCCTAGAGCCTCTTTCACTGCAGCCAAGGATTACCACCCACCACGGTAATGAGCACAAGTATTTATATAGTAGGAAAGACAGGATAGCCATCCAATAAGCATATTGCTTGGCAATGGAAGAAACGGGCGGCAAAGTGATGATCTTAGCCTTCTTGGATATTACTGCGTCATCCTCAAAATAGACGATGAGCTCAAGTTATAATGGTTTTCCATCAAATGTAGGAGCGAGAACTTTTAATATTGTTGACTTGATTTGGCAAGCTACAAATGCGGGAGATAAGATGTCCCTATAACTCGTAAGTGGTCCAATATCTGATATTTACTTGGGTTGCTCGGCGTGAGTATCATTCAACATCCGCTGGTACGGGACCGAGCAACACAAGGTTGATACTTGTTCTCTTGAGTTGCATGTACCTCACAGCAGACTTTCCTCTGTATCTGTGCTAGTTCAGCAGGTGCGTAATTCTTGCGTCCATCCCGAAATCAGCAAGACCAACGTCATGCATGTACCAGAAGGTATAACTCTACCACTCACAGTAAAAAAGCAAGTGACGAACGCACTCTGAATCAGGAACGCTGTATGCGTATCAGCGGGGATATTCGAGCCGTCAAATATCTTTCAAAGCCACTGAATTCCGAATTCAATTTCAGTTTCCATAGTGTGACAGGCTTCATCCACCAAAGGATGAAAAGCGCGAAATTTGAGTTGATACATTGTTAGACATGTGTGCGGACCAATGTAGCTGAGAACAATATCAAGAAGAATCCATTGTTCTTGATTGCATTATTATAGCTACATGGCTTAATCTTTCATCAGGGTTGAGATATCGCTCTGTATTATTATCCTCTGGTATGATGGTTTGGCTTTTTGCTTTGAATTTTAGGTATGTTGCCGCAATCAGAACTCTACGATTAGATTTGATCCAATTTAAGTTCGCGTATGAACAACGTTCAGATTTGCAGTGAGAAACGTTTCCAGTCATTGGTTTTGCCTCATGGCAATTGATCTGTAGTGTGAACTTTGTACAGAACGTTGGTTAAACTAATATTATCTCTTTTCCGTGCCGCTAGAAATGGTCGGTTCTATGACCATGGTGCTCCGCTATCACCCACGGAAGACACTCCATGAGAGGCATCGAGAACGCATCTGTTTCTTACCTGAATTCCTTCAAGATTCTAATCGGTATTGTTATGTCGTAGACGCACTGTGTGGAAGCTGAATTGTCCAATTCAACATGCCAACCCACGAATCCGACTTGTATCTGCATAGACGAGTACTTGAAGACAGCCATCGGGTCATGTGTTGCAGAAAACTGCACCGTCATCGAGTCACTCCGTTTGTCGAACACGTAATACTTTCGTGAGATATAGATTGTCCTCAAGACAGATTTGGCCGCTCAGAAGCTCAACAACACCACAACTTATCCTGTGGGGAACCAGTGAGACGCAACGATATCCAGGCCCCACTCGTTTGGTCAACATCACTCTCAACGCCGTAATGGCTCGCCTTGTTGCGCGGACTCCCCTTGTGACCGCGCGTTTACAGTTTCTTGGGATGATGGGTGCATCTTTGTATCTTTTGTAAGTCTGTAGTTTTGTAGTACATCTGACTGTTCTGTTGCTCATGGACATATCATAGGTAGCCCTCATAGTCACTGATATATGCATGCAGCTATGTAAGCGGAACAGCAACCGCTTGTTTCACTGGACGCTAGCCAAAGGAAGAACAGCAATCGAACTGGGCTTTGGCCACGATATCTGGATGCTATGTCCGGAGCAAGTTACCCGGATTCTGATTGTTGGAAAACCATAAAGTTTTATTGAATTCGACGATATGCTAACTGGGTTACGAGGTCTTCTTCGTAGACGAGATCATGTATGCCATCATAATCTCAGTAACCAAGACGTCCATAATCCTTTTGTACCTACCCATCTTTCCAAAGCCGTGGTTTCGAAAGACCTGCCGGATGATTCTCTATATCACAGGGATATTCGGTGTATGGCACATTTTGCAAATTCTCTTCGTCTGCTGGCCCATGAGTTACAACTGGACATACTGGGATGGTGAACATAGCGGAAGAGTAAGTACAGCCCCATTCTATAGAGCTCGCCTCTCGTATTCGAAACTAGTAAAGCTGACTCTCCATATTGAAAAAGTGTGGCGACCGAAGATTGTTCTCTTCCATTAGTGCCGGCATCAACATCGCGTTGGATTGGTCTCCCTGCCTTCTCCCGATAACGCAGTTGTAAGCCACGGATTCGAATCCTAGGTTCCAGGGTATCATCTAAGGCATTCGAATAGTGTTGCCACGTCGTGGACAATCAAGACGAAAATCAACATAAGTCTTGTATTTCTCATCGGTCTTCTGTAAGTTTAGACTGGTATTTTGTCGTATTGAAATGTGTAATATTAAAACGGGTCGCTGGGAATAGTGTCACACTGTGTCTAGCTGTATCCGTCTGAGAACCCTGACAGAGTTCGGCGACACAAAGAACCCAGCTTGTGAGAACCTCTCCTCACTTTCTTTTATCTTCAGAAGTGAAGTGTGATCTCGGATTTTCGAATGTTAGCCATTCGGTATCGAAGATGACTTTAAGTATTTGGGCGTATGGTCCTTGGTTGAGCTCCGCCTGAGTGTTATTTATGCATGTATACCAGTATTGATGTCCTTTTGGCGCCGAGCATCACAATATTTTCGAAGTCGGAGCCCAACTTATATTCAAGGCAGAAATCAGCATCGCACCCGTACATCTTTCTCACAGCTACTGAGTCACATTTTGTCACCTAATATAGGGATAGCAGACCCGCAAGATTGCTCGGGGCTGCAAAGGACCTATACAGAGATGAATGAGAGAGACTTTAGACCTCGAATGACAACTACGGCGAAAGATACCCGAGAAATTACGACGTTTCGGAAACAGGATATTTTCCAGCAAGAAATAACAGTAATGCGTCTTTCGATAATATGTAAGCATTGAGCTATAAGGGAACTTGCTCCCTCTCGCAGAAATGGGCCTCTTCTTTAACCTATATACCCTAGTTTGCGCAGAGCCACCAGCTCTAGCTCAGTATTATCAGCAGTACTGAAGGACTCGACACCTGCAATGTTAGATGTTTTAGCGTATCCCATTTCGGCATCAACATAGGCGATCGTCTGCTCTCTTTCATGCCAAAGCTTTTGCACCAAATTTCCCACGTTCAGCTTGTTGGCCTCTTTCTTTGCAATGTCAGTGAGCACCATGGCTCGAATCAGTCTGGACCAGATGGGGCGCGCGACAGGAGCTGTCTCGGAGAGAATGCGACCCGCACTGCGCCTGTACAGACTATACCAGCTCCAGGACTGATTCTGCAGGCCCAAACATGTGTCCTTGTAACCCACCTCGAAAGCGAAGGGGAAAAAGCCAGCCATTTCCCAGCTAATGACGGAAACCAGCTGATAGGTCATCCTGTTGTTGTCGTCAGTGATGACCTCCCGGACGAGAATGTTTCGAGGCTCCAGGTTGTTATGACACAACACCGACATGTGCAACAACAAGTCGAGATCCGTCTGGGCGAAGCTGAAGCCGATTTCTTGCGGAGACTCCATCTGAATGGCCACAGAACCATCTGGCTTTTGATCTATGCTGCATCTGTTGTTCCCGGGGCTCAGTGTACGCATCAATAACGATGAGAAATCACGGAAGTAACCGTACGCAGGACCACCTACCATAGCAGAGCGCCCTGTCTTGATCCGCTCAAATGGTGTTCCTCGCAGAATGTCAGTTTCATCGTTGGCATTTGCCAGAGAAACATCTTTCAACTGGCACAAAGTGGAGACAACTTGTTCTACCAACGCCTGTCGCGAAGACTTATCCATGTCGTTCCATACTGACTCCAGTGTGCACGTGTGCATGTAGAACTGCGAGAGCATGTATGAGAGCTTGGTGCCTTTCTCAGTCTGGGTGTGACCAGCACCCCAGACCTTGGGGACCAGATAAGGGAGTCGTCGGTGGGCCAGCCTCTGCAACGCAGCCGTCGCGATGAGGGGGTTGCCATCCCGGCTCTTTTCAAGGCGGATGATGAGATGGGTCGGGAGACCACAAGGAGACTGGTCTTCTTCGAAGTAGGCCACAGCGGTGCATGTGTTGGAACTGTTAGAGATAATGCGGTACTTACAAATTGTGATACCATCAAGCTCAGAGATCCCGGAGAGGGTTGTGAGATCGGGGACGAGGCAGTCTTGAGCAGTTCCAGACATTTTGGTGAAAGTCTTGCTGGCACTAGCTTGTGGTTTGAGAGTGTAGGTGAGAGTAGGAGTCAGCGGTTGGCTGTGGTATTTGTATAGATGTTGACAACAACGGCTGTGGTTGATTGAAGATGTTCAGATTGTGATTTTGATTTCGAGGGGTTACTTGAGCGAATCCGTAGTATAAGTACTTTAACTCCACCTACAGAGACCAGCGCAAAATCCGTGGAAGAAAGTAGCATTGAATTTTTGTCTCTGTGAACAAACAAGACATAGGCTTCGTTGTTTGATTCTCACTTCTTGCGCTCCATTGACGATGGTAGTGGGGTTCGAGCCCGTTCAAGATGCTGGTTATGGAGAGTCGACAGAACAAAGCGCTGGGCCAGTCAAAGGCTCACCTGCAACAATCTCAAGTTCCACTACGACCTGTACAAATCCGAAAACACAGTTACCTTGTTTTATGTTTTACAAATAATCTGTTATACATTCTATCAATTATCCTAGATGAAGAAATCATGTCCCTAGAACAATCTGCATCTGAGTTCAATCATCATTTTTACGAGCTGTTTCTGGAATTATTATCCCTTTAGTTGCGAACTGACCTCACTAACCCCCGTGAGGGGTAGGAGCAAATCAGGCCACAGCAATTAACGCCGAAAGCTAATAGTTTCAAGCTACTTCTATTTATACAGCGTTTTGCCTATGCCAGAGGTACTAACAATCTCTACCTTTACATAAAGGTACATCACAGTCTAAGCAGCCCTGCTAGGTCCTTTGTTGCCGTAGGCCTAGATCTACTAGAGGCTTATTAGGCTAAATTGTTTACGTTATTGTATTACTCTAGGATATATTTATTAGGGTAGGCAGCAGCGAGGTCCTCTGGCTGGACCTCTTTGTGAATAGTACTGTAAATAGAGGTATCTGAATCAGAGGTTATTATTATTTTAGTGATAGTTTTAATGATAATGTTGGTGGTAATGTTGAAATTGGTGGTGGTTGCTAACAAAATAACATTCTAGATCAATGTACTGTCATGTATGTCCGAAAGTGAGGGATAAAAGTGGGGGTGGGTCCACCTAGGGGTTAGTGAGGTCAGTTCGCAACTAAAGGGATAGCCCAGTCAACTTTCCTTCTCCTTCGTATACTGTAAGACAGCAACTTTGCCCAGTTAAATGACTTGAGCACGCAATTACTGAGCCAAGGTCAAAGTCTCCGCCCACCCTGCTTCCTTGGGCGGAACATGCTTCGATTAGACGCACGACGTCTTCGTCATTGAAACCACAAAATGGAGGTATTCGGTTACGTAAATTATAATCGAATTGCTTGAGCCTCTGTCTTGGTAGAAAGTAAATACCCCAGGTTTGTGTACTCGTGTTGCCTCTGGGCACCCAGCGCACTTGACAACGCTGGGTTCCTCCCACACCGAGAGTTTGGCGTCGGTGAGCTCGGACCACAGGCATCTCTCACCGCGCCCCACCTGGAACCCCCACCACATAAACCTCAACCTCTAGACGTCAATCCAACCACCCACCAACCGCCGTGCATCTCATCCACTGCAGTGCCCGTCACAAATCGCCAAGATGGATACATCACGAGACTCATCGAACCTGCTCGACACGCACAACCGCCTCATCGCAGACGTCCTCTCGCGGTTCCGCATGCTGACGATGCTCGCGACGATCCAAGCCGAAGGCGAGCGCAAGAACGCCGAGCCGCAGACCGTCGCCGTGACGGGCATGTCGATGCAGATCGAGTTTGAAGGCCTGGTATGTCGCCTTCACCCTTGTTTTGGCAGAAAACCCTCGTTCATCGAGCCCCCGTCTCGAGCCCCTCACGCTAACTTGAAGAGCTCAGCACACCTCGATCAAGGACCTCCTCGCCCTGAGCCGCCGCCTGAAGGAGCTTTGGCTCTTTGGCAAGCTGGGCCGCGGCGAAGGCGACGCCCGCATTCAGGCCGACAAACTCCAGGCCGACGTCGTGCGCTGCGCGGAGTTGCTCAACGCTATCCAGGAGAGGCGGTACGCCGGCCTGGCGAGCGCGGCGGGCGGCAAGTGGGCGCCGATGGGACGCCCGGACGCCCCCGCCCCCGCCGAGGGCGCTGCCGCGACTGCGCCTTCAGCGGCGAATCCCGCGGCACCGAATGGCAGTGGCGGCGGCAATGGAGCTGGTGCTGCGTGAGGATCATGGTGCATGGACTGTGGAAGGCAGAGGGAGGGGTTTCTACGAAAGGCTCTGGGAGATTACGACGTGCATTTGCTGGCGTTGGGAATGAATGGACTGAAGATTGTGCGGTCTCACAAGATTTCACGCTTATACCCGTATCCAGAGGGCGGAAAAGAACTTTATGCTTTTGATTCTACCGAGTCGCATCCGTCACCGGGAAGAAGGAGAGCCGGTTGCCTATATCTCTATACCCGTGCTACCTACCCAACCCCGACCGTTCCATCGTTCCACGAGCCCTTAACCATCACCGTTCTCGGGGTCCTCGTCCTCGTCACCGATCTCCGCCTCGAGCGTTTTCGCTCCCTTCTCGTCCTTGCCTGTGCGGATCCCGCCGGCGTCGATGCCGCCGGCCGTCAGCCACAGGAAGTAGTCGGACTTGAAGTTGTCAACCTGCTGGAAAAAGATGTGGAACCTGTTCAAAGCGGTCAGCCAAACAAAAGAAGAGAAAGAAAGAGCATGTCACAACGAAAGAAGGCGTTTCCCTAGGGTAAGTAACTCACGTGTTCTCCTGCTCCTCCACCTCAAAGATGCGCTGGTAGATCTGCTTGTCCTTGAACGCCTGCAGCTTTTCGTCGTACTTTGAAAAGTCGATCGTCTCCTTGCCAAAGTTGTCCTTGGCCCTGCGGTTGTAGGCGTCGAACACGGGCCGCTCGAGCAGCAGGCCCAGGCCGGGCGCCTTGGGGATGGCGATCCTCGTGGGGCCGTAGCTCTGCCTGATGCGCTCGAGCGGGGTCGCGCAGCGCACCACGAGGGAGGCCATGCCGACCATCTTGCGGATCTGGTGCATCATGAAGCTCTGGCCGTGGACCTTGAGGGACACCCACTCGGTGTCGCGGATCTGGATGGGCTGCGTGTTGACCTGGAAGGACTTGATGTGGCGCTTGGCCGAGGGGTCCTTGAAGCTCTTCTGCACGGTGTAGTTGTGGAAGTTGATGGTGCCGCAGTACTCGCTTAGCGCCGCCTGGAGCTGGCTCAGGCGCTCGGGCGTGACGCGGTACCGCCTCTTGGCGGCGATGTAGGCCGCCTTGATGTCGCGCAGGGCGAAGTCGAGGGGCGTCAGGTCACGGTTCCGGGGCTTGACGCTGCCCTCGGGGACCTCGGCGGGGGTTTTGGTCTCGGCGGCGGGCGCTGTCGGCTCGGAGACGGGCTCGCCTGGCTTCTCCTCGGCCTTGGTCTCGGCTGCAGCCTTGGGTTCCTCCGCCTCGCCACCAGCCGCATCCTCGTCGGCGTGTATCCTCTCCATGACCTTGGCTCTGGTCTCAGGGTCGAGTCTCTCGAGAATGGGCTTGATGTCTTTCTCGTCAACCTCCCTCCAGTAGCCCTCAACGTCCGCCAGCTTCCTCTGGAACTCGTCGTAGTATCCCTTCTCCTTGGCCACCTCAACCAGCTGTTTCCACAGCCAGCTGTCAGGGTGGGGGGGCAGAAGGCAGTAGGTCGGCAGGAGGTACTCATACCATCTCGAGTCGCAGGTCTGGTAGCAGCTGAAGGAGTTGTTGGTACGTTGGATGCCCCAGACGCGGATCTGTTCGGGCAGGTTGGCGTTGATCTTTTCGACAATGTCCTCGTCCTCGATGATGAGCTTCAAGCTAATGACGTTGCCGGCAGCGTGGACGCCCTTGTCGGTTCTCGCGCACCGCACCAGGCTCGACTTCTTGTGGTCGTCGGCATTGGCCTTGGAGATGGCGCCGGCGGCGACAAAGGCCTTGAACAGGTCTCCCTCGATCGTCTTCTCCTCGTTGTTGATCTGCATTCCCTTGTATCCAGTGCCGGAGTAGCCCACCATGACGGCCACCTTGCGCTTGGGCCGGCGACCTTCAGCAGCGATCTCCTCAGCGGTGAAGGGGCTGGGAACGGCCTCGGGGTTGCCATCCTTGTCTACCTTCCTGCGCTTGAACTCTTGATACTCGGAATTGCGTCCGCGCTTGTCGGTGGCCTCGCGGCTGTTACCTGGTTAGAAATTGTTGGCACCGGTGCGCACTCAAGCAATCAAAAACAGCAGCCCAATTGGCATGGGCAGAGGTTTGACTCACCTCCATGCCGAGCGTCCGACGTCGTGCTTGCGCTTGGGTCCGCGAGATTTGCCATTGCGTTTCTCTCCGCGTCTGCCCTCCTGTCCACCCACCGCAGCAGAATCGGGCTGGACCGAGCTCTCGGCGCGGGACTCTGATGGAATTGACGATTTGTCACCGGTCGGGAGATCGGCGGGCTGCCTCGCGGGAGCACCGTCGGTCGGTTGAGGGGGAGTATCAGTCGCCATGTTCGGATTGAGATCGCGGACGTTCTCATCGTCCGTATCTCAGTGCAGGTGGAGTGTTCGCGAGCGCCTGTCGCAGGTGGCCCTGATCAAGAAAATTTCCTGCGAGCTGCAAGGCTGCGGGACACGGGGCGGAGATGTGGGGTCCTTCGGCTGAACACCGGTTGGCGGGGTTGTGGGGCTTCTCTGCGCTAGTCCATATACGGCTAATTTCAACTGGCATCTCATCACTTATCTCACTGACAAGTTAGAATGGCAGTGGTCACGGAGAAGCCGTCAGCAGGACAAACCTTGAAAGGGTGAAAAATTGCAGGCAAAAGATACCTGAAGTGAACTGTACTATATGCGTTTGAACACTAGGTACTCCCAATCACTTAACCCGGTCTGTATCGTGTGATTTCTTACTAACAACCGCCGCCGTCGCCTCCTCCGCCGCCTCCATCACCGCCTCCACCTCCATCACCACCACCGCCGTCACCCCCACCAGCATCGCTGCCTTCGAAGGAAACCCATACGCCGTCAAAAACATAATACTTCCCCTTGGTGTACGTCCTTCTTTCCCTGACCGGGTTCACACCGCCCAGAATCCATTTCGCTTTCACCCGGGCTGGGTGACCTGATGGAACTACCGCCGCATCGGGGATGTAACCCTCCACGCCATTCTCGTCCATGGCAAACTGCTCCGTACACTCCTCGTCGTATTTTTTCCTCCACTCGAGTCTCGTTTCCGCAAGGATTCTTCTCGCCACGGCGGCCGACGGCGTCAGTCCATAGTCGACGAGTCTTCTCGCGACGGCAAAGCTCCAGATCCAGTAGTTCGCGGGGTACAGCCGGTGCGTGTGCCACAGTAAGTCAATGACGAGATTTGGGGGCACGAACTCGCGGTTCCTGCCTGGCGTAGCGCCTGGTTTCTCTATCGTGTCCATGTCATATTCTAACGGGCGGGACGTGAACGTCCCTTGCGCGGGTCGCCCGAGCAGCTTTATGAAGCGCTCGTAATCCTTGACTGATTCCTCCACAATGCGATTAAAGTTCTTCTGGGCGTCCCGCGCTTGAATTGTAGCTTTCCAAAAGCCGATCTGGCGGTTCAGCGTATCCCTAAGGTCCTGCAGGCTCGGCCATATGGCCAACTCGCATCTCTGTCCGAGGCTGCTGTGGGTGCTGGCTTTTAGACATGTTTCCAGTCTCCTGCCCGTCCTTATGTCCGTCCACTCAGAGAGTGTCCACTTGTCCTGTTTAAAAGTTGTGCAGAGCTTCCCAGCAATGTTGTACATGACGATATCCGGGTCTTCTTTGGGTTGTGTATTCGACTTTTTAGTAGATAGGACGGAAAATATGCTCGGCTTCCGCCTATCCTCCCATGGTGGAGACCTCCAAAGTTGGAAGGGAAGGTGTGGGCCAATGTTTTTCCTGTTGAAAAACTCCCATTTCTTCTGGGCTTTCTTGTCCGTCCACTTTCCTGACTTGGCGAGATGCAAAAGACGTATGATTGGAAATTGGTTGTGGTTGAGGCCGTAGGAAGTATGGTAGTTATCCCACAAATGACGGTGGAACCCACTGGGTGAGAGCAGATGGCAATACCAGATAATCGCAACGTCCCTAGAACGAGGTCAGGTTCTCGCTTTCGACTCTACTCAACAGGTTAAGTACGGACCACGGCGGTGGAAAGTCATTCGGCGATGTTCCGCTGAAATCGAGGAAGCGGATGTAGCACATGTAGCGCCACTCCGAGTGCGCCAGGGCTTCATCGTGGATGTTGCCCTTCTCGTCTTGTTTGAAGTACGGAAGGAGCTTTAAGAAAATCTCAACAATCTTGGTGTGCCTCTTTGTGCCTGTCAGTACATCCTGATGCTTTGAGCTCCGATACTTTGCGTCTTACGGCGGCTGCAACATGAAGCAGTATCTTGGGCTTGTCTTTCGGCCATGGATTCTCGAACACAAAGATGAGAGGCGCCATTGCGCATCGAGTTGATCACTTTGATGGGTGACTTGCAAAGTTCGATGTTTACAACTCGTTATCGACGACTACAAAAGAATCTTCCGACTTTTAAAGCTGAGATGCATGACCTATGCAGAGTATGCCAAGTCCGGTAGAGTCTGGACAGCGACGCAGATTCCGCCCACGTTGGCGCTGGGTGCGCCTTACCGCCGCATGCACTAAACCTGGATTCGATTAGCGGGCACTTACGGTACGAGAGGGGCTTAGCGTACAAGACGCCGATTAGAAATTATTCACATTGCCCCAAATGAATTGGTTCAACTTATGCACCTATGACATCAGCTGATGCGCGCTGAAAGACCGCAAGGCAGATTTGCTCGCCCTGTTTTCATTCCGTAGCTAGGTATGTATAATATCCCGCATCGACTTACTTTAGGCCCTCTGCGCCTCAATGCCAATGCAAGCCAACTCAGCCTGTCGATCATCGCCTTAAATTGGCATTCAGTCTCAATGCCTTCAAACACCTTACCTGCATCCTCTGCTTCTCTCCGTCTCGCTAAACTCGGTGACTATAGGCGAAATAGGAATTACAAGTACCGACAGCATCTTTCTTGAATCCATTACATCCCATTTAGACCAAGACCAGAACGAATCTTGGGAAGTCGCAAACGGCAAGTTGATATTAGGCTTTCCCAAATAAACTACAAACTCCAGGTTTTTCGCTAGTAAAAATGCATCGTGGGACTCGACTCACTGTCCCCTCAGGGGATAGTGGTCACATGGGCAATGTACGACTGCACAAACTATGGGCAGGGGAATATCTTGCTGCGCCAGATGACAATCTGGGTCCTGACTCCGACCTTGTTCGAGAAGTCGAGTGCGACGAGCTTAACCTACAGCACATCGAGACCAGGATACAGCAGCTTATTCCCATCTTGGATATTGCGAAGGGGTTTTGTTCGAAATGCAGGCATCTACTGGACCACTGGCCAGACTTGTCGGCAACTGACTGGGACTACGCTCCAGGCCGCTCTTTTAGCAGTGTGTCCGAGATAGAAGCCGCTACCAGAACTGGCTGCAAGTTCTGTACCTTCCTCTTCTCACGATTGCTCGAAGATGGGCTTCTGGACAATTTTCGGAAAATAGAATCGCGGCTTGTTGTTCTTGGTCACGATGCGACCATAACACTATCGATTCAGAACTGGGGCCAGGGGCCGGCACAGTCTCAAATCTTGTGGTTAAACTTACCGGGAAAGGAGGCAACTCACTGCAACAGTGAAGGCGCCCGTGCCGCCAGCTTTGAGTCCAACGTGATGAAACTCTCTGGTATGTTTCAAGATATCTTAGTATCTATATATCAGGCTTTCGAATTGCCAGGTGCGTTGGCTAACGAGCATAGCAAAACTGTGGCAGGAAAAGATCGACATATTTGAGGTTGCGAGAATCTGGCTCCGTGAATGTTGCGTCTTTCACGGACAGTGCCGTCCTACAAAAGAGTACAGCCGACCCTCAAGGTTAATCTCCTTCGAGCAAAATGTTGCTCGAGTTGTTCTTACAGAAAGTCTCGACATCATGCCGCAATACGCCACCCTGAGCTATTGCTGGGGACGCGAGCCGTTCCTGATGCTAGATACTGACACAATGGGCTCGTTTCTTGATGGGATTGCCATAAAACACCTTCCGAAAATCTTCCAAGATGCCATTCATGTGGCGCGGGAATTAGGACTGTCGTACATCTGGATAGACGCCCTGTGCATCATCCAACAGAACGATGGCCACGACGACTGGCTCCAGGAATTGGGCCTTATGGAATCGATTTACGGTAATTCCTATGTCAACCTTGCCGCGTCATCCGCAACAAATGTACATGGGAGCTTATTCTCGAAACCTGAGCACTACAGCGCGGGCTTCTGTGCACGAGTCACTACAAGCGAATACTGTACTGTTCAGAGTTTCTATAAAGAAAACCTGTACAGGAAATTCTCCAACGGCTCACATCTGGCCACGCGTGGTTGGACGCTCCAAGAAAGATTGCTACCTCCCCGCACAATCTTTTTCGGAGACAGCGGCATCTTTTGGGAATGCAGATCCATGACCAGATCTGAGTTCTCACCCGATGTGTCCCGCGCGGTCTTTAACCATCACTTCCTCCGCCCAGACAATAAGGAATGGCCCTGGTGGCAGATTGTCCAGGACTACTCTAGAAGCATGCTGACGAATCCATCGGATCGATTACCCGCTTTGGCTGGCGTTGCCAGACGTCAGCATGAAGCAACTGGCCATCACTATCTTGCCGGGATGTGGAGGGAGAATCTTCTGTCACAACTGACTTGGATGGTGGTTGGCGAACGTCGTAACAGACCAGTTTGGAGAGCGCCCTCCTGGTCCTGGATGTCAGTCGATTCTGGAGTAAGGTGCTGGCCATGGCTGGATCTCTCGCATATGTCAAAATATATCAGTGTATCACGAGCGCGCACGGAGCCTTCGGGCTTGGATCCCTTTGGTCATGTCAGCTCCGGCTTACTTTCGATAGCATGTTCAGCGCTCGTGCACGCACAGCTATTCGAATCTACAAGGCCCGAGGAAGCTGCAAGAGAACAGGATGCCCCGCGCTACCCTCTTGCGAGGGTGAAAAGCGTTGACTCATACTTTCCCATTTCTATCGATTGCTTGGAAGATGACCTTATCCAGAGTAGAGATGACATCTATCTCTTGCCAGTCTTCAGTGGTCCATCAGGTTCTAGTCGGCAATGGACGCAAACAGAGGTCAAGGACGGCAAAGAGAATAAGAAAGAAAATCAGATATCTGAGCAGGACCGAACCTCAGTTGATTCAGACTCGGATTTGGAAATGAGGGAGCAATTAATCATACGCGGCCTTGTTCTTCGGAACTATGAGAAAGACGCTGGAAATCAAGGTCGTTTCTACCGTATTGGGTCGTTCAACTTTGAGAATTTTAGTATGGGTTTCGGTGATCCCGAATGGGACAGAGACTACTGTCAAGAATTCATACGAATTCTGGATGAAGAAAGGGCAGAACTGGATGGAGAAGAGTGTTTTGATACACTGGGTAGTCAACGTCGTGTCAAGAACAGTTTCTGTATTACAATTGAGTAACGCTAATTATAGTAGTAGCAGTAGTAGTTTTGGAGTCTTCAAATCGTTCCCATTCCACGAGAACCTCTTTATAGCTTCCTGTTTAGACTAATAGTCATTGATGAGGCTATCGATACCTACAAAAACAGACCCAAAGAGGATTTCACCAAAATAGCAAGGCTGACTATCTATAGCTCACCAAGAAACCAGAGCTCTCACGTGCACCGATACAACAAACAGCCAGCAGGTGGCCAATGATCGCCGGGCCTTGGTAACCAGTCTTTAATTCTACTTCCCCTGCGCTAAGTAGTTTGTGAAGGGGAAAGAATAGAGCAAACACTGCCTCTCCCGTCTGAAAACTGCCCCAAAGGTTTGTGCGCCACTCGAATCGCGGCGGACACACATTCGTCTAGCATACTGTCCTTGGTGCGTTGCTGCCGAGCACAAGGATCCTGGCCACCGACTCCAGTCATGGACGCGAGACGCCAACATGATTCGGCACATCAAAAACGAGGAGTTAGGTAACATACGCCCCGCATTTTGTCCCCTGCGCATCAAGAGCATAGTTAATAAGGCGGCTTTAGATTGTTATTTAACAGACTCACACAAGATCCAAGTCAGTTCGCGACAGAAGTAAGAAAGAACAGATAAGAGCTATTCAACCCTAAAGCCAGACACAAAACTAGACAGGGAGGGCATTTATACAGTTACAGTCCTTTTAAGCAAAGAACATAAGGCAAAGCATCTAGGCGTACTCTCTAATTATATATTGTGTCGTGAAGCTGGAAAAGCTTCGTGTGGCTAGTATTATTAGTGACCGCCATTCGAGATGTGGCGTACCACCTGCATGGACCTTCTCGAATTAGTATCTCTACCCATTCTCCGGTTCATAGATAGTTTCTTAATAGGACAACTACTTTACTCTAAAATAATTAGACGCTGTGGTTCATCACACATTGCCTGTAGGAGAGGGCATCACATAAGACCCCGCAGCCAAATCCGCAACAAGTTCTCTAGACAAGTTTATTAATTCTTACAACAGGATTCCACCTTCACCCCAATCATCATCAGATTAGACTTTTTACAGGCCGGACTACTCTAAAGTAACAACACCAAGCCTATCTTTAGGACCCTCAAATTTTAAATTAGAAGTACTGAATATAAGGATATCATCAATTTCAGAAAAAGAAACACGACCACAAGAAACTGAAATCATCCTTTACACAAACAGACCCACTAGCAGCAGAGGCCTTAGCAGCTCAGCTAGCTGTACTATAGACTATAGACCAGTAGATAACTTCTACAACACAATCAACAAGTCCCCAGGCATAGCTTCATAGAACGAGAATATTCTTATAGCTAGGGGATTCCTTAGCAGCTCTCCCCTACTGTCTTTTATCAGTATATTTTCCAACTCTCTACTCTTACTAGTCGTGTATTTTTGTACAGCAACACCGCAACCTAGCAGCCCCAAGAGCACGCTAGCAGCGCCTAGTACAGAAGAAGACCAGGCATTCATAAACTAATTATATACTAGGTTAGTAGGGGGGAAGTTCTTACAGTAGCTTAATGGTAGCTGCCCATAGGAACCACGATAGAATATTTTCAATAATAAGCTTATCAAGAGCTTTTGGAAATACTTCTAAGAGTTTTCAATTAGGAGTTAAAGTATCACGTACACAATCAAAGAACAGGAAGACAGAATACCTACTCTATTAGGTAGGCAAGCCAGATAGTAAGAACGCATAGGTAGTAGATAAAGACATTAGCCCCAGGTTAATCGCTAAGCATGGACTAATAGCAAAACCAAGGAGAAAGAAGAGAAAACTAGGGCATTATTAGAGAAACACTAGGAGTTACAGGATAGTTCCTGTAATAATTAGCCTTTAAATTATCTCAAGAGAAATTCCAGGTCTCGTGCCTCTCCAAGCGATTGGCGTGCGGCAACTAGCAACTAATATTCCTCAATCAGCTCGTAAGAGCCATTAGACCTAGGGTCAACGTCAAGACCTAGCCCCTCGTAAACCTACTATGTGCATACCGTACAATCTTCCACAAGCCGCTGGGCGAGGCGGCTGGGCAGCGACGAAGGAGGAGTCGGTCACCGATCGACTAGGTATGCGAATCGATCTCCTGAATTGAGCTATTGACAGGACACTGGGCCGTCATTGGCATTGAAAACGTCGAAACAGAAGAATGTGGGCATAAATTAGGCCACCAGCCTTGAGGGGATGCGAGACTCGGTAGGTTAAACATTGCTGTGGTGACGCTAGAAAGCTAGGAAGAAGGTGGGACCCTACACCGCTTAGTTTAAGTAGCGACACAGCAGACGGCGTCGCGGCCAGACCGAACATAGAGTAAATTAGATGACATCTAGGGCACCTACTCGCCCTTGATTGGGTGGCTACAGTGAACTCGGGGTTTTTCTTCTTTTTTATTTTTCAAGTAGAAGCGCCCATCTCACTCACCGGATGACGGCAATCATGATTTTAACATGAAAAACTCCAAGACAGCTCTAATGCTATCATGTCTCGATATTTATTAACTGGAAAACGAGTTGATCAGCCTCGCAAGATGTGTTTTATCAACATTGGTGATGTAGCCGTCTTTGACCCAAAAACCTCAATCAAGACTCGGGACAGCCAATCATTTCCTGCATGGTATACGGCGCTTAAAATACTTAACATAGTGCTGTGTGGTACATCGTGCTGGGTATTACTTACCGAAAGTCGTGCCCCTCGTTAATGCGCGACCTAGGCTAACTTAGGAGCTGCACCGTTACGATTACGGCTTCCGGATAAGAATGTTAAGGCAACCGCATAACATGAAAGTCGCCAAAAATACTCTCGTTACAACGGAGGAGGGGACGCTTCAAGTTTATAGAGCCTGCATCTGAGGGGTTTGCGTGGCGAAGTAATTGCATAAGAACAGGGTGAAATGTGCCTCACATGAATTAATCCGTAACGCCGCTACAAATCTTCCCAATGGTTCATTTCGCCAAGTCGCGGGAGTCGCAGAGTGGATGGAACCCTGTCACGGACGATGGCATGGTGACATAGATATAGAGTCACAGTCAAATCACAGGGCCGATTTAACCTTCTGGATTGTGCTTGGTGATCCCGCCCCCCGAAGAAACCGCACGGAGATGGCCTATCTTTCCCGTCAAGGTAATTTAGGGCGAAAGGACGGCGATCGAGTATTTACAGGGTGCGCTAAGTTAGGTTGCAGATCAATATTCGGCTCCCCTTGCAGGTTTCATTGGTGTGGGCACCATAAATCCCTCTGTCTATCTCTGTAACCCTAGTTTGACGTTTGATGAATGAGCCTTAAAGCGTCAAGACCATTTCACAACCAGTTGTTTGAAGATGTACTTACAACTCTTCTTCAGCGCTTGTCGGTTGTTGTCCTGGAAATTTCTGCTTTCAAACAATAGCAAACAGTAAAGGGACAAATGTGTCCCGACTAGGGGAACTTAAATCTATATCGAGCTTACCAACCAATCGGGGGTATGAAACAACCTTTTGAAGCCCCTTTCTTAAGGAGGGTGAAGATACAGAGTAAAGCTTTAGGTGATAACGCATGAAAGGTGTTGGGACTTCGAGCAGTCACTGACCTTCCGGATTCGGCCTCGGTCCGTATGTGACGAGCGATATCGCCGCCGCCGCCCGAATCGGTGTATAAACCCGAGTTGTCAGACATGAGCTGGCTACCTACCACAAAAGAACTTGAGCACACTGTTGCACTCCACCACCACATGTCCACAGTGACCAACAATCCTTTCACTGAGCACAACACAATCAAAAAGAGGCGCTGTGTGACTCATTTCCACGTACCTTGAGCGTTCCACTGGAAAGGGCCACACCTCTTTGAATTGTACTAAATTGATGCAGAGCAGTTGTCCGTGGTTGCACTGCCCCAGCTGATGAATGTCGTGGCATATGAAGAATAGGGCACAAGATGCATATGACGTAAATGCTTCTTCCATTGATTGCCTTGCAAGGAAGACTCATGCAACCTGGTTTGGCCCAACAAGAATTCGAGAAGATCCACTACACTTGACTTCGAGATGCGGACCAAGCTGGGGTGCGTTTCTCCGCTTCACTGTTGAAGAGGTTGTTCAACGGGTGACCATATTGGTCAGCGACTCTCTATCCACTCCCCTGGTTTTGGGTCTCGCCCATCGGCCGCCTGGAACGGCTCTCATGGGGATTCCAGAATTCCTTGGCATTGAGGGGCGACTCATATGGCAGACCGAGATTGAAAGGAAAAAAACAACCAGTGATTTTATCCAGAATGGTCCCAAAATTGGTAGCGGCAGCAAAATGAATCCGGAAGGTCAGCGAGTCCCCAGTGGGTTCTTCATAACTAAGGCCAGTAGTGAGCCTGCAGAATGATTGACGGTACCGAGAGGAGACCTTGTACAGAGTAATGGGGTCGGAGTTCTCGCGTTAGCAACTAAGAAACGGAGACCATTCCTTGGTTTGAAACTGTAAAATTCCCTCCTCGACCTTTTCAAAGAGGCCAACGAACAAAATCTCGCTTCACAAATACGTCATGTACAAGATTGGTAGGTAGCATTGGAACGTTATGGAAGATGCGACCTACCCGTTGTGTCCCGCGACCGAGCCTTACATGTACCCCTGCTGCTCAAGAACAATGCGACGGAAACGTTTTCAATACACCGGACGATTTAGACATAGCACGGCATGGGCTGCAAGCCACAGACGAACGAACGAGGGGGGCCTACAGAGAAATGATATGCCAAAAAGGACAAAAAGCCAAGGAGCCAAGGCTCCAGCCCTTCGGAGACTGGATCTAACCGGGCTAGACTTGTGCGGAACATGATGCGGACCCTATGAATGAAATTGCAGAACACAATCAATGTATAGGCTTCTTTGAAGCCTCCAGGCCCTACATAGCATACGGGTTCCGGAAGTCGACCGAACTCTCCGCCTCCGAGTTACCTCTTGAATTCTTCGGCGAAATCAGTTCCTCCGCCTCGTAGCAATCCCTCCCAGAACCGGGCTAGCAGCTGCAATCCGGACCATTGGGAATCGCTTCTGAGCGATGTCTTCATCAGTCACCACCCGCGCGCTTGTCCGAGCCCCGTTTCGCTGGCTGGGCGATCATGTGCTAGAGCTACCCACTCAACCCACGACGGCATGGCTCATTACCTTGGCCCAACCTGATTCTTTTGTGTCAACGTATTGTGTTATCGAGCTGTGGAACATGCTTCTAGGGCGAGTCAGTTATTCGCTTAACCCCTGCAGTTAGCCACCAGGAAGTGCCTGAAGAAATGATGGAAGGGCAAAAAGTACGGAGTACTGGAATGAAAATGCGGAACTGGCCCCATCTAGACAACTTCCATCAAGTTGATACGTCAATACCTGGATCGCTAACGGCACTCACTGGATCACTCTACCGGATCTGATAACGGCCCCCTGCCCTGACAAGGTATGCGCTGCTGCACCATTAAGCTTGGCAGCGGGTCGCTATCGTCTATCTGAATTGAGCTACTGCTGCTCTCATTCCCCTCATTCGAAGAAAGGAAGAAAAGAAAAAAAGAAAAAGCCAGTCAAACTTCATGATTTGGGGCTGAGTTGACCAGCATGTCCCAGTTTTTGCAGCAACCGAGTACAACCTGACTTGTACCGGGCAGTCAACTCTGCCGCCCGCCAAGACCGACATTCCCTGGCTTGTCAACGTTGTTGCTGTTATGCCAACATTCTCCGGGGCCGCCGGACCTATCCACAGATGTCCGTGGTTCTCAGAGTCACCCCTGGCGCACGTCATGGAGTTCACTTGGACCGACATTGGGTATCCGTACCTTGCAGCCCCTTGACCGGCTGATAGAACCAGATGCGGTCATGGGCAGGAAGTGCTCGGCGGGCTGCCAAGACCTGGACGAGGCTCGATGAGAGCTGACGTATCGTGGGTTCGTCGAAGAATAGACTTATAGGGCCGTCGTTCCCCCAGACTGGCTGCCGATCTCCTTCACCGCACACACGCTCATTGTCTCTACTCACTACTGTTCATTCTTTATCTGACAACATGCGTGCTGCTCTCATCTCCGCCCTCGCGGCCGGCGCTGCTGCTACCCGCCCCTTCATCAACGAGCCCGACACTGGCATTGAGCTTGCCCTCCCCGACCTCGCCGTGGGTGCTCTGCCTGATCTCAAGTCGATGGTCGGTCTCCCTGACTTCGAGTACGCTGCGCGCAACTACCTCCCCGTCCGCAACTACACCTACTACCGCAATGGTGCTGCTGGTGAATGGTCATACCGCAACAACCTCGAGGTCTTCGGCCGCTACCGCCTTCGTCCTCGCACCATGGTTGACATCACCAACATCGAGTCTACACTTCCGTAAGTCCAGATGTCTTGTTAGAACGGATTGGAAAAACTGACTGGTCTAGTACCACCATCCTGGGACACAACTTCTCTGCGCCCATCTTCATCAGCCCGGCTGCTCGTGCCGACTACGGTCACCCCGACGCTGAACTCAACCTCATGAGAGCTGCTGCTGCCGAGAACATTCTCTACATGCCCGCTCTGTACGCTGGCAAGACCATTGAGCAGATTGCCGAGGTCAAGGCCGATGGTCAGGTCGCCTTCCAGCAGGTGTACCTCACCACCAACGAGACCGCCACTAAGGTCCTCTTTGACCGCATCAAGGCCTCTGACGCCAAAGCCATCGTCTACACCGTCGACTCTGCCGCCGACGGCAACCGTCACCGTGCTGCCCGCTTCGGTGTCACCTCCGCCGACTCTGACTACTCCCTCATCACCTGGGACGAGTACAAGAAGCTCTCCGCCATGACTGACCTCCCCATCATCATCAAGGGAATCATGACTGTCGAGGATGCCGAGGCTGCCATCGAGAACAATGTCCCTGCCATCGTCCTCTCCAACCACGGCGGTCGCCAGCTCGACGGCTCGCCCTCCTCCCTCGAGGTTGCCTTGGAGATCTACGAGAAGGACCCCGAGATCTTCAAGAAGATCGAGGTCTACGCCGACGGTGGTGTTCGCTACGGTGCTGATGTCCTCAAGCTTCTCTCCCTCGGTGTCAAGGCCGTCGGTATCGGACGCCCCATCATGTTTTCCAACGTCTTCGGCCAGCCCGGTGTCGAAAAGGCCATCCAGCTCCTGAAGCACGAAATTGCCATTGACGCCGGTAACCTCGGTGTCCCTGACCTGAAGAAGATTGATGCCAGCTACGTAAGTGATGCTCTCTGCACATTCACATGGTATTTAGATGGCTAACAATATATATAGGTCAAGTGGACCCCCAACAACTGGTACTCTTAAATGTATCGCCAGTAGTTTAGGAACATTGGAGGATTTTTCCGGATTAGCGTAGATTAAGATGATACCACACGGCTGCAAAACAGCATTGCTTTCAAGCTGCCCATAGCATTTAATGGCAAATTGATACCCCTTGATTGAAGAACCAGTGGTGGAATAAGGCACCACAACTGGCAATTGGAGCGAAACATTGCATCTTTGACAAATTGTAAGAAGTGAGAACCCTGGTGCAAATGAAGCTAGCAACTGGCAACGAATCAAGGTAGCTCCTTGTCGACCATTGATACCAGACAGAACAATTCATTTGTATGCTGCGGTAAGTTTGATAGTGGTTGTCCTTGTGCAGGGAGTCAACGCATTAGCATAAAGCTATATTGAAGGGCGAAGAACACAGATCGGTTTTTTTTTTTTTGTCAATACTAATCAATAAGTACATGTATAGACTATTCAGTTACCGCATAATGATTTCGGTTTCTCTCAACAAAGCTTTCAAGCCGTAGTGGGTGCACCCCCTTGGGCCGCCTCTGTCTCCTCTGGTTTGCGACCGTACACCACGTGTCTGTATAAAGGTTTAGCCTCATTGTCATGGCGAATCCGCATGGAGCGACTTACAAATAGTAAAACGGCGTATTTCTAGGGTTGCTTAGCGCAGCCCTCAACTCGGCAAGGGTGACCTGAACCTCCTCATACGTGAAGCCCAACATCTCCTTGAGCAAGAACAAGCCAAATCCTTCGATCGATTGCAGAAGAAATTCTAAAGTGCACTGCCCAAGCTTCTTCATATCGGGCTTAGCAGGCCAGAGTCCAATAGGAATAGGCCACTTTCGTTCAACGATGTCAACATACCCAGCCTCAATCATGGCTTTTGCAAGCTTACGGTCGACGGCGTTTCCATGGGGCTTTCCCATCCGGGTTGAAGAAACCAGCATGTGCTGATGCCACCTCTTGAAGATGTGATCGTCATCCAGATCGCCTAGAGTCTGCGAGCGAACCTCAATATCAAACTCGAGGATCTCAAACCAGCCCTTGGGTCTTGTGTATGCAAAACATTGTTTGAACAGACCTGGCAGGTCGGCAATGCACCCTTCGAGGTTGCGGGCATGAATATAGTCAAACTCAGTATTGAACATCCACTCCTTCTCGAAATCGTCAATCTGGAACCTGCAGTTTGGAGGCACCCAGAGAGGTTGGATAGGGGACACATCAATGCCAAGTACGTCGGCAGATGGAAACTCATCGGCGAAATCGCTTCAATGCCGGTAGTTAGTCATCCGATAACAGCAGAATTTTTTGGAAAACTTACATAGCCCAAATTCCAGTTCCTGTACCGACATCCAATACGTTCTGCATTTGCTGTTAGCGAGTCGGCAATCAACCTGTCAGTGTTGAATCTTTGCTTACCCCTGGGTTGTCGCCAATCGGAGCCAAGAACAGTTTATCTTGAAAGAAATCTGTGATCCAGTAATGACTACGACATTTCGCCCCCTGTAAGCAAGTGATCTGCCGCCAAAGGTCAATTGGAATCGGGGATGGAAACTCACTTGAAATCTAAGGCATCATTCGCCTGCTCATCATTAGGTCCCCAATAATCCGTCTTCTGGGTAAAACTTCGACCATGTAAATGTCGATATTCGCGGACACTGTCGGTAATCGAGGTGGTAGAGGATGTGAATACGCTGTTGTAAAGATTTGTTAGCTAGTAGTCCTTGTATTTCTGAGATAATATCCTGACCTGTTAGTGTCACTAGCCTCATCAAGTTCTTCGAGTGCAGCATCCTAGGGAACGCAAAAGTGAGCAAGGGTAATGGATTTATGTTTAGATTTAAGATTACGCACCACAGGCACCGGAGCGTTGTCCTGTTCTGCTGTGTCTGCTGGTGCTGCAGCAGCCACCGCCGGTGTTGTGCCTGGACTGGAGCTCTGAGCAACATTGGACTCCGCGCCGTCTGCCGGGGTAGTTGCCGCCAGCTGGGCCGTCGTGTTAATGGGACTGCTCGACATCCTGGATTCGACCCAAACTGTCGGATTTGCGGAGGATACTTAAGAAAATGGGAAGAGAGAGCGAGATTTCGCACTTCGACGGGGGAGAAACCCCACCTTTATACTGGGTTGGTTGCGTCCTTAGCCATCTCAAATGCAAGACTGCATCCTGCAGACCGAATCAAAACGCCAAGTAGTGACCGCAGGTCCGTCTCTCTGGGCCAATGAAGGGTCCCGTCGTCTTCAGCCGAGCATAAAGTGAAGCCACTTACGGCGGGGCAAAGTGGAAAGTCCATCAAGCACAAACAAACGGCAGAATGCATATCCACGCTCCTGGCGGATGTGTGGACAGAATTATTATCCAATGTCACTCTTTTGCTTGGGCGGGTTTGGCTCAGAAGATATGAATCCCGCTGCGAATGCAGTTGCCAAACCGCTTTTGGGCGGCAACACGAGCTGTTCCAAGCGCGGCGCTTCAGTGTCCGACAACAGCTGAGTGTATTACTGGGCTGACATGGGACCTCGCGGGCCAATACAAGGAACTCTTTTTTGGCTATCTGCAGAGATAGCGGCTACGGGCTTATCAATGTGTCGGCTGGACTATCATTCTGCATTTGCCTATAGTCATTGGACCAACTAAAATATGGCTTTCTCAAGGAGTACACGAGCTACATTCCCGAATGGGCAGTCTGAACACTTGGCAGTTCAGTCCTTCTGCTTGGCTTATTTGTGATAACAAAAGCGGATCCGTAATTACGCAGTAGCAATTACAGCTTATGTCACAACACACTCCCCCAGGTTTACAACCCTATTTATTAGAAGGCTAGTCATATAGAACACTTTTTATATATAATCTTCTAATTAGGTACATCTTGCTAAAGTATAGATGGTGTTTTTAACTGCCCTGAATAGTGCTTGAACCTAGGCCCCTTGGAATTGTGGGGGTCTCTGATATGGCCTATGCGCATACTATTAAGAGGCCCTGAGTAGAGCGGGCTCATAACTGTGATAACAAAAGCGGATCTGTAATTGCCACTGCGCAATTACAGCTTTTATCACGACATTGTTAGAATTGGCTCTGAATCAATGCTGGAGTTGGACCAGTCCGTTGCTTATACCCAAAGACCCTTCTCCCCTTTACGCTCTTTTGCTACCTCTATTTACATCACCAGATTCGCGCTGGATATTTATTCTGCGCGCAAAGTTTCAAAATAGGAGATTCTTGACTAGGGCCCGTAACAAGCAGGATGATAAGTACTGCAAACAAGGCTGTCCTACGCCGCTACAGCCGAGTCTGAGCTGTCTTGCCCCGGTGATCCAGGCTTTCGGGCGTAGATAATATGCCTGTCTGTATTGTTAGAACAGCTCTGTCCCCAACTAAAACGATCACTTACAAGTAATAATAAGTCTGGTTTGTACGGTCCCTCAAAGCGGCCCTCACCTCGCTCATTATCACGACAACCTCTTCGTATGTGAACCCCATGACTTCTTTGAGAAGGAATAGTCCAAAGCCTTCCATGGATTGGTCAATGAATTCAAGCGTACACTGCCCAATGTGCTTTAGCTTAGGGTCGGCGCTCCAACCGCCAATGGGGATCTTCCATTTCTTTTCGACAATGTCAACGTATCCAGCTTGGGCCATGCCTCGGGTAATGCACCCATTTCGTGCAGCCTCGGCTTCTTTACCAAGTCGAGTAGCAGCAGCAACGAGGTTCGTGTACCATCTCCGATAGATATGGTCATCCGTCAGCTCCTTTGACTGTGATCGTAACTCTGTGTCGATTTCTTTGATCTCGATCCAGCCATTGGGCCGCGTGTGTGCAAAGGCTTGCTCAAAGAACCTGGGGACATCTGAAATGCACGCTTCAAGATTGCGGCCGTGGATTAGGCCAAAGTAGTCAACCGGCCATGTCCATTCTTTCTCAAAATCATCGATCTGAAACCTGCAGTTGGAAGGCACCCATGCAGGCTGAATGGGGGATATGTCAACACCGATGACATCCGAAGAGGGGTACTTATCAGCAAAATCACTGGGATAATAGTCTGTTAGCAGCTTCAACACCGTCACCGCCACTGCCTGGTGATATGGGTATCCTCACATCGCCCAGATTCCAGTACCTGTTCCAATATCAAGAGCCGACTGTTTCCAAGACCAATTAGCAGAGTAAAGCTATGTGTTGCCTATGACATGACTTACATGAGGAGTATTGCCAATGGGTGCCAATGTCAATTCCCCATTCAAGAAGTCGGTCATCCAGTAGTGGCTTATTTTCGGCTATCAGCTGGTGTCTGGGCAAGTGTTTCAGGGCTGCTCACTTGAAATCAAGGGCATCATTCTGCTTCTCGTCGTTGGGACCCCAATAGTCAACTTTCTGATTATAAGTACGGCCATGCAGTCTCCGATTTTCTCTGATGCTTTCACTAAGAGACGCGGTGGACGAGGTGTTGATACTAGGCCAACAAGAATCAGAAGGTTACGACATTGCAAGACTGCATCTGGTAGTTGTACCTGCTGTTGTCTCCTTCGCCATGGATCTCGTCATCGACTGCGAGGTCAGATTCCTTGTGGGATTAATTTTGAGCTGAACCGAGTTGAGGCTGTAAAGTGACCAAATAACTTACAGCAGGAATCTGAGCTACGGCGTCTTCAGCGATGGCAGGAGGGACTGGCGCCGCCTGTTCAGTAGCCGATTCACCGGGGCACATCGTAAATGGTAATTTAGTAGTACTGCAAAGTGAGGGTTGTATTGCCGAGGGAGGATAATGGATGGAGGTAGGAGTTCATCTGAAGACCTAGCCGAGGGAGTCGAGCATACCCCTCCTTTTGAACTGGAAACAATATGCCGTTGGTTTCCCTTGATGTACTCAACTGGGATCATGCAAACCAGGGGTTGAACCTGCTTAGCAGGGATAAGAGGAAGTGTTGGTTTTCACTGGCTAATTAATGGGATCCTGTATCTTGTGATATCACAAAGGTTAAGAAAAGGTAGTCAAATTTGTGGTTATTAATAGTTAACTAGTTAACAAGGTAAAATAGGAGCACAAGTGTAGTAGCACCCTTGCGTATAGGCAAGGGTAAGGGATTCTGCTGGTAGGCAGTGTATTACGTGACCTACTGCCTCTAGCTACATCACCTATATGCCAACACTAGCAACTTTCTTGTGTAGTGAAAGTCGCTAGTGCTCCTATTCCTCCCAAAAAGCCTAAAAACGTAATAAAAACAAGAAGAGCAAAAGTATTACACTTTTTGTAGTTATATACTGCCATAAATTCATTTATCTGTTTACCTAGTAGAGGCAGGCTTACACTATCTTGTTCAGGTGTATTTCTCTTTGGCCACAGCTGTTAGAGGCGTATACTTACGTTAAATAGATTTAACTACTGTTAATCTGCATAGTTTATATAACCTATTTTCTCCTTTAAGTGTCTATTATCCTATATCCTATTATTCCTATTATTTCCTGTTACGTTTGCGTAACCTATCCCTCTATCTGTATCTTTGCCTTGTTGTAAGAGATAAGACTCTTAAGTGCTTAGTTTAGTAAGGACTTCGTGAACCTATTAGTAAGGTTATTGTTGCCGTAGATCTATTGTACCTTAAAGAGCTTATGTTGCTTATATAATTATCGCAGTGCTATAATGTTAATTATTAAGCGCTTTTTGCAGGTAGTACCTAACTTTACTAGGCACTTATATAGCAAGTACAAGTTAGTGTAGGCAATAGTAAGGATTAATAGGTTACTAAGCTTGTTTACTACTATTATAATAGTTATAGAGAGAGCGTACGCTATATTAACGCCTATAACTATGCTATAGACTTCTAATATAAGAACACTTTATATTACTTATTTAGATTTAGTTAATAAGAAATAGAGGATATTACTATAGAGGGTAAACTTACCTTACTAGTTATTAACTTCTTTATTAGCAAGAAGGATAATAAATCCTAACTATAAAGTTAAGTTATAATTATTAGTAAAAGATCTATTAATAAACATAAAAAGCTTTATGTTAAGTAGGTTAAAGGGAACAAAGGTAAAGCTATAGTTAAGTATATTTATTTACTACTAGATTCTTTAGTTAAGTTATTAAATAGCTTTACTATCTAGCTCCTTATACTAAGCTATAGTAGATAAGTTAAAGTACACTTTAGGCTAGTAAATAAAAGCAATATATATGCCTTAAGCGTACTACTAGACATAGTCTTACTAGGCTATAGGCAATTTCTTATTAATAAGTCTTAGCTTTACGCCCTAGCCCTTCTAGTAAAGTGTAATAGAGGTGTCTTTAGCTAAAGTCAATAAGATAATTCCTCTATTAAATACTAAAGGTTTATTCTCTATAAGTAAAATTTTCTCTTTTATAAAAAGCTTTACCTTAGTAAGCTTATTATCCTTATAGTTAAAGAAATTAACGCTAATTAGGCTAATTATATTATCTATTTATATCCTAATTATTATAAAGTTAAGGTTTTTTATAGATAAAAGAAGTAAGCATAGGTTATATAAAGTAGTAACTATATTAAGCTTTTTATAGTAGTAGTAGTTATAGGTTACCTACTAATAGGTACTTACTTTAGTAAGGCTATATAATAGCTTTACTACCTTTATAATAGTGCCTTAAGGGTAGTAATTATAGATTTAAAGAGAAAGTTATATATAGATAGTGTAGTTAAGTTATAAAGTTAACTATATATAGGCCTACATTATATCTTATAGCTATATTACCTTACTATTAGCTATAAGGAAAAAGGTAAGCGCAAGAATTATACACTAGCTAGCTTTTTAAATTATAGGTAACTAAACTAGTAAGGTTTCTTTACTATTATTACTATAACCCTATACTATAAGTTATAATTTCTTATATAGCTTATTATTTTTGCCTTTAACTTTATTAATAAGGTAAGATTTAAAGACGTAGCCCTAGTAAATAGAAGGATTATATATAATAATCTTAAACACGCCGCAGTTAATAAGGCCTTAGATCTTACTTTTGCCTAACTATTTAAAGGGCTTACTAGATATAGTAATAACGCCTTAGTTATATAGTTATTACATAAGTGCTAGGTCTACTTTCTCTTTAGCTAAGAGGAAGGCACTAAAGGGTTTATTTATTTCCTATAGCAGTATATTAACTAGGGTCTTATATAGTTGCCTATAGGTATACTACAGAGAAGAAGAGGTTACTATTTAGATAGGTTTTCCTATTCTTATAGTAATAATAATAGTATCCTCTATATATTTACTAGTGTAGTTAGTATCTATAGGTTAGTTAGGTTAAGGATTTACGTTAGTAGGCTTATCTACTTCCTTCTTAGTATAGTAAGGTTTAACTAAGGTAAAACAGAAGTTATATAGGCTATTAATGTTAACAGTATAATCCTTACTATTAATAAATAGTAGGCAGTATAGGCTAGACTATCTACCCTTCTTATACTATACTTGTACCTTACTGCCTAACAGTAGGTCCTTAACAGCAGAGGTATTTAGGCTATTATATACCTTAAGTGCCTTATAAACTTAGTGTATTATATAGCTCTTGTAGAGGTCATTAGTAGCCTTCTAGATAGTAGCTACCTATTAGATAATATTAGGTAAAGGGGTAAAGTTAGTAGTTATATAGGGGTAAGCGCTAAATACTAAGAGGGTTAGTATAAGGCCATTAGGGCCTATAGTGTTATTAACTGCCTTAACTACGCTCTAAAGGATAGATTCTTAGTTAGCAGTTAGGTACTCCTTATGTATAATTTTATAGGCCTATTAAAGCACCGCGTAGTATTATTTAACCTTTTTAATACTATAGTGCACCTTAATAAGGATAATCTTGACTTTAATGCCTATTGTGTAGGCTTTATGTAAAAATTTAGTTATAGTAAAGTTCTTGCCTACGTTAGTAATAATCTAGTCTAGAGGTCCTTAGTAGACGTTAATCTAGCAGCAATAAAGTGCCTCCTATATAGTTTTTATAGAAATATTATAAAGAAAGTACACTATATTAAAGGTAGTTATAGTATTAATAATATAAAGAACTAGTTAGTTACCTTTAAGGTATATAATATTAATAATAACCTTATAGTTAAAAGAGTAGTTATTACGCAGGGTAAATTTAAATTATAAAGGTGCCTTCCTATAGAGCTAGTAGTAATAATAGTATTTAGTTAAGTGCTTAATAGCCTTAACCTTAACCTTGTAACTAGCCTTATAAAGGACCTTATAAAGACAATAGACTAATAGGTACCTAAATTATTAGTAAAGTTATTATAACTCTACATTAGTTAAGTAGTAACTAGCAAGGCTACGTTTAAGTAGGCCAAGGAGTATCCATAGATGCCCCTATTTTTATATAACTAGTACTATAACGTTGCCTTATTAAAGGGTATTTATAAGGTTATTAAAGTAAATAAGCAGTTAATCTATATCTACTAGGCAGAGTAAGAAGGGTATATTTATAGGCATTATATAAAAAGTAATAGGCCTAAATAGTGTACTAACTATAACAGTGCCCTTTAAGTAAATAGTATTACTACTACTAAACTAGATCTTTACTTAGCTAGCAGTAGCAGTGTTAATAGTTACTAACAGTTAGATCTATTATAACGTAGTTACTTATAGGTAACTAGTAGTAAAGAAGGTCACTATGCCTATATTAGGCAAAATGCCTTAAAAGGTGCCTAATAAGTAATAATTTAATATAAAAGAGGTAGCTAGATCTAATAATACTACACTAGGGTTATCCTTTGTTAACTAGTAATAGATAGCTTAGTTAGCTAGGCTAAAGGTAAGCTTATTACTACTAAAGGTAGTACTACTAAAGAATATAGTAGAGGTATAAAAGGTATTACCTTTTAGTTTATCTTTACTGCTTTTAAGAGCATAGTTACCTTAAAGGTAGTAACTAAGGTCCTTATTATCTTTATTACCTTCTTTTTCTATAGGTAACTGCCTTTATAGCTAGTAAAAAAGGTTTAATACGCAGTTAGTAAAGAGTCTTTTACCTAGTAGTTATTTTTAAATTATTAATATACCTTACATTACTTATTAGTAGTATATTTTATTAACTAGTAACTAGGCTTATAGTAGACGTAGTACTTCTTAGTATTACAGTTACTATTATTATTACTATAATAGTTACTATTACTATAGTTATTACTAAACCACTAGTTACGCCCTTAGCTACAGTAAGTGTAGTTAACCTAGTATTAATTATTAAGGTCTACCTAGTACTAGCTAACCTTATTATTATATTTTATTATAGTACTTACTAATAACTATAGTTAGTTATAGACTCCTTTTAATATAGGCGCTAGATTAAATAGGCATAATTTACACTTATAAACTCTAGAGTAAGCATTTAATAGCTAAGATTAAAGGACTTTATTATTATAGTAGCTATTAGGTAGCGCTTATTAGATAAGAGTAAGTTTATTAATAAGCTTCTTAAGCACTTTAAGCTTACTCTTTTTAGGGTTGTCATATGCAACGCAGTGAAAGGTAGTATCTTACCACTCAGTAAAGTACATCTAAATAGCCTTAGGGCTCTCAAAGTAAGCTCTTATTTAGGTAACTATAGTAGTAAGGTCTTAGATATTCCTACTGCTAATTTAGGTAAAATAAAAGTAAAAGCCTTACCTTTAAGTATTAATAAGAAGGCTAATACTATTTAGTGTCTCTTAATACTAATTTTACTATAGTTATTATAGAATAAGT